GCCGCCGGGCAAGCAGGCGGAGCGCAGCGCCAGGGGAGGGGGAGCGAGCGGCGAGCCGCCGTGGCTTGCCTGGCGGTGGCGGCGGCAACAGCAGCTGCTTCAAGACGCTGACTCGAGTATAAGCCGAGGGGGGCATTTTTCAGCCCCAAAAATGGGCTGAAAAACTCGGCTTATACTCGAGTATATACGGTAAGTCTTTACTAGGATTATACTCATAGTACAGTTTGTCAGGCTGGTGTTGAAGTTTAAAACAAATTGGCTACTTGAATGTGTAACTGAAAGATGCTGTGTTCATGGTCATGCCCAAAGCATTATTGAGATTATGCTTCTCAGTAATTTCTATTTAGTAATGTTTTATTTATTTATGAATTTATTTGCCTCCTTAATCCAGATTTTAGGCAGTGTACAGATACTAATTTTTAAAGCATACACAGCCCTGGTATTTAATCTTATACTATATTGTACATATTTCTTATGTTATGTAACGTTGTGTTAAATCAAATCTGTACTATGTCAAGAAACCTAAAATGCAATTTAATGTTAAAATCAAATTGGCTTTTACAATTGGAATCTTAAGTTATTTCATTGTTTCACTTCTGTTTCTTTTTGCTTAGTTCTGAAGCAGGTTTCCTAAAGGATGCACAAGATGTGATAGATGTATGTGGATTATATAATCAGGAGGAAAATGCTGGTAAATGTTCTCTTTTTGGTTTCTTACTAGCTTTCTAAAATATGCATGAATTTTTTTACAAATTGCTCTTTTTAACAAATAAGACTTCCCATCCGATTAATTAGTATTAATTACGTTGTATATTTTAGTTCTCAAAAACATTGCAATGTTTCAGATATCTGTCAGTCATTTCTTAATTTTCATATTGCATATAAACCTTTCTATTATATTCTGACAGCTAATGAGTCCAATTGCTTGCAAGAGTTCTTTAGTCCATTGGATACAGTGTTTGTGGACCAAGATAATTCTATCACTCTTGATCTCCACTATCTTCCTTTTAAGATGGGAAAACGTTATTGTGTGATTATTTTGATCAATGAGCAGGTAAATTTTATTATAATGCTGAAATGGATTAAAGTCACCATGGTGACAATTAGAACGAACAAAATAATATGGTGCAACTTAAACTTAATTTCAGTGAAATTGAATAGTAATGACAAGAATAATAGCATTAAATATGCTGTATATATAAAGATAATATAGTATATAATGTTTGACTATAATTTTCTTACTGTTTATTTTGGGACTGTGGTTTGTTTTTTCATCAAAAGAAAATATTGCCATACTTTTACTAGTAGAATTTTGTTGTGAATTTGTGATTTTTTTCAATGTGATATACAAATTGACAAATAAGAAAAAATAAAATAGAAATAAACCAAAAAAGTACAAATGTTGCTGCTTAAATCAATTTCATAATTCAGCAAATGAAGCCATACTAACAAATGAACAGCCCCAACTCACATTGTCATATGTTCCTCCTTGAACCTGCTGTAGCATTTAAAAAATAGCTCACATGAGAATGACATCATATAGATATTCAAAATATTGAATACTGTACCAAATAGATGTCCAGCTATTTTTTTTTTCTAAACTTGAGTTTAATAAGGGACACTCTATAAATAAGGGTCACCTTATAATCATTATGAACTAGGTAATCCAAGAAACTTCTAATTTATTCTGAGGAATTGTTTCCAAGAAATGACTTGCATATATTCTTGTGTTTCAGATTGGGGAATTTTTGTATTTGGTGGAGGGCATATGTGATTTGCCATTGCCTTCAAGCCTAATTCAAATGGACAGCTCAAATATTTTGTACATTAACAGCACATGTGAAGGTAAGGGGCAGACTTTAAATTTTGAGATGCAATGAAGTTTTTACAGTAGCAAGAAGTAAGAAGAGTTGCTGTTTGATTTATGTGTGTGTGTGTGTGTTCTTCAACTAAGGTACTTTAATTGTAAGGTACTTACTACCATATGAGAACTTTGTGCTCGTGCTAATATCTAATAACCAGATATTATTTCAATATTTCATATCATTTCTTTTTACTAGTTGTCTTAGCATAGCCATATTTGGTCATGAAAATTAGTGCAAGTAGTAAAAGCTATTTGTGACTATTATATAAGTGAATGGTCTGAAACTTGGAAACATTTGGGAAATGTGTCTTGTTCAAGCCACCTGAGATAATTTTGAAGTAAAAAAAAAGCTAAAAAAATATTATTCTTAGAAAATAAAAAGGTGAAATACTTTTAAATATATTTGTATTAGACTGAAATTTAATTTGGTTTATCAAGATTAAATTGGCTTTCTTCAATTGATCTTTTCTAAGAATGCTGCCACAGTATTTATTGGTGGTTGATATGACCACAAACTGGTATCCATAAAAGAAATAGGCAGAGAGAAAGAAAGGTTACTAAACAGTAATTGTAATTCTCAAAGATAATGACTTGTATAGCCTTCATTCCCTTTGCATGGATTCATGCAACAAATTGTCTTGAAAGAACTACAATTACTGCCCAAAAGACTTTTCTGTCATGAATTTTGATTCAGACATAGTTTTGTATGCCAATTTAATGAAGGCTAAACAATCCTGTCAGTAAGAGATTGATAATCAGGGCTTACTGTACATTGACACAGTTGTAGCAAAGAGAAAATATATCTACAGATCTGAGTACAATTGATTTAAAGACATATAGCATTGTCAACAGGATATGCAGTGCCTCTTAACAGTTTACAGTACTTGACCTGTCTCTCTTTAAATACATCAATTCTTTTACAGTCCGAATTTACTTTGTTTTCATAGGTTTGAATAACTGTTTCAGTTGTAATCCTGAAAGTGACTTTGTCAACTGCATACCTACATGATCATTGGTCTATGTATGTCATGCATCAATCACTACACATTTTTCATAGTTTTGCTCTGTATTTATGTTTTGAAATGATTACATCAAAATATACATGACTTCATTTTGACACATTTAAAGTGTACTTATTTATTGTGGTGGAAAGTATATTTTATTCTTTTTTATTTTGTATTTAAAAGTTCTTCACATCCTTACTCAGTCTTAAAAGCTCTCACTTTTTTGTTTAAATGTTTTAAATAGCAGTTTTCTCAAACTGATGTCCAATTGAATAATTAAAGTGTGTATTATAAGTGGAGATTGCCAACCTTTTTTCAACGGCATTCATTAAGCTGCTATTTCACATTTTAACTATTATGGAAAACTTCACATTTATACACTACTAAAACATTCATGTTTGTCTGTATGTAACCGTTAACTTGAAAAAATGGTGCATCGCATGACAGTTTTTGAACCAAGGTACCTCAAGTGGGCTAACTTACAGAATGCATCCAAAATCCAGGACCCATGACTCTCATGAAATTGAAATTTGACAAATTTTATACAACATTTTATAACATAAATATTCTCATAAAACATTTTGACATAGTAAAGTTTAAAATGTCATAAAACATTTCCCATGATCAATTTCTGGTGTTTGAATGTGTTATACAATTCAATATGGGCTATTTTCAAGGCAGGTGCATCTCTGAAATTTTCCTTGAAATTTTAAGAGTTTTCTAGTGAAGGCAGTACATTAGAGCAGAGGTCCTCAACCTTGGCAACTTTAAGACTTGTGGACTTCAACTCCCAAAATTCTGAGGAATTCTGGGAGTTGAGGTCCACAAGTCTTAAAGTTGCCAAGGTTGAAGACCCCTGCATTAGAGGCTCTGCCATTGTTGAAGGCATTGAGGAATCGGGTAAGGAAATATCTCTGAAAGGATGACCCAAGGTTTCCTATTTGGTCTTTAAGGGAACAGAAGCTTTGTTAAAAGTCTGCAACATAGGTTGTTGACTATATTGAACCTGTCCATTATTTCCAACTTTATGTTAAAGAAGCAAAAAAAAGTTAGTGCTATTGTTCTAGATTTAATACTGACACATGCAAATTAACTGGCACAAGCAGAATTTTACTGGGTAGTTTATGATGCTGCTTCACTTTCCTACCAGCATTAGAGCAACAGAGAGGAGGCACAGCATGACTTTATAGTGATGAATCTTTCTTGCTTGCTCGCCATCTCCTCTGTGAGTTGTGAATAAAAGGGCAGATGACAAATGATTTTATTACAGGTCAGAGAGAAATGCCACCAGTTCTTTATTTGAAGTGTCACCTTACTGATATACTTAGAGAAAAGCTGAAGATCCCTTTGATCAATGACGCTAGAGAGAAAGCATTGGCTATTGCAGCACAGCAACATATGTCTGCTCTGGAATATGAGCGAAGAAGGGCCACAGGAACACTTGAGAGCAGTAGCGTTCGAGTTGCAGTTGCAGCTTTGGGATTGTCAAGAGTTGAGGTGAAAATGCTAATTATTTAAAATACGACTATAATTTTGCTTCATACATTACCTTTAAAACCGCTAGCTAAGCAGATTTTTATTGCACATAAAACAGACCGAAAAGGGACCTTATCCTCCTTTTGCACCTCTTATCTATCTTTTGGACTCTAGTTTTCTTTCTTCTGTTACAAAATCACCAAAGCTTTAAAAAGATTGGATTTCTTTTAACCATAATGCTGCAAAATGGAACATTTATGACTTTTTCTTATACTGCTATTTAAGAAAAGTCTTAAAAAGAATTAAAGAATGTGTTGCTGTCATATGTGCAATTTCATGGCACATGTATCTTAGCCAAAACAAGTCTGATTGAATTGGATTTACTAATGAAGTCTAGTGGACAATAATGTTTAGGCCCCCTTTGGAATAATTTATAAATAATAATAATATATTAAAATTAATATACTTGTCTCTCCTGAGCATTTCATATTCTCTTCTCTTAGTTTAAATGGGCTATGGTTTTGATAATTTTCTAAGTTTGTAAGAAATTCTGTATTCATTTATTCTAACTTTTTGATATATCATCTAATGGGGGATGTTTAAACAAGATATTCAAGATTTCTCAGCCATTAATTTCTGCTATTCAAAGGTGTATTCTTAATATAATCACATATTTTTCTTTGAATCTTGTTTCTAAAAATTCTTTTACATCATTATTAAATCTATGTTTTTACAGAAAGATGCTCTGCACAACTATCCTTTATTCTCTGAAAAATGTATTGAATATAATGTTGAAGCGAGCATGCCTGAGTGTTTTGAAATTCCTTCAAAAATATATATACCCGTGTTAGCCTCAAGCAGAGTTAATTCCTCAAAAGCTAGAAAACAAGACCATTGGCTTGATAAAGCAGGTAAGAAGCATCAAATCAGTTCAACTAAAAATTAATATTTAGGTGCCATCTGATCCAGGAACAAAATTTATCTAACATTACTTAAAGGCGCCACCTACTGTACTGCAATTTTTTATCCTAAGCTTTGTATAGCAAAGAGATACCCCGTGAGTAGTACATATCCAGTACTGGACAGAAAGAAATCAATTTGGAGTTGTTTATGAGTCATCAGGACTAATGTAGGCTACAAGATAGTTATCTAATTTTCCACCAAAATCTCCCCAGTTCTGGGATAATAACCCATACTAGTGTTTGATTAATTTTATTCCAGATTAGACAGGTGGGGATGTCATGATCATGATGTAATTGTTATCTTTTCACAAGTATCAGCAAGGTACAGGCATTCCTTGACATACAACTGCAATGGATCCTCCCTATTATGGTTGCCTTGCTTAACCACCCCCCTTTTTGATGTGGCTGATAAATGAATGTGAGGATTGTAAAGTGGAGCACAGGTACCTCAGTAGTGGGAGAGGCGCTTGGAGGTCCAGTGCAGACTCAGGCCTGTTACCATAAGCCTCCTAAGGCCTTCTCAGCTCTCCCCATATTCTACTTCCCACCCCTTGGTGGGCCTTCCCCCCCAGACCTAGTCTGCAAACCTTCTCCTCCCATTGATTCACCATAGGTCTTTCCCTCCTCCAATGGTTCTATGTAGGCTTTACCTCCCCTATTATGTCCCTGTAGGCATTTCCCCCCTCCTACTGGGTCTCTGTAGGTCTCTCTCTCTCACACCAGGTCTCTGCAGGCCTTTTCACCTCCCCCTGGTTCCTCACAGGCTTTTCTCTCCCCCACTGGGTCCCCATAGGCCTTAGTCCTAATTTCTCACCCCATCTGACCCCACGCTCTCCTCACATCTTTTGAAGTGCTCCAGGGCCTACAACACTGGAATGGATTGCTTCATTGCATAGACTTTGGAAGTGGTCACTATGTTCCCAGCTACCAGAGTTCATTTGGCAGCTGGGAACATGGTAGTCACTTCTGGAATTATGTTGCATGTAACCAAAAGCATTAAGCCCTATTAAAAATGAATCCTTTTTTAAAAAACGTTGGGAGAAAAATAAAATAAAATATGGGGTAGAAGAATTGTATTAAACTTAGACTAATGATAAAGATGTATCCTCTATAAATTATTAATGAAATTTATTTATTTCAACATATTAACTGTGTCAAAAATTGCTCATATCTTTAGATAAATTAAGAGTGCATTGTATTAAAAAAAGTTCTTATATTGAATTATTAGCATTTGTTTTAATTTGGATATTTTCTGTGCTCCTGTTTAAACAAAAAGAGACAGTTATAATCTTATTCAAGCAAAATTTATTTATGAGCCAGGAATATGGAAATTAGTTGTACTGCTTCTCTAATTGACAAATTGACAAATCTGAGTATTTTTGTGAGAGATAGCCAATGAGGATAATAACTTGGTGAAAAAATAGAAACAAGGTAATTCATGAATTAGCAGGTCATAATCTTACCTTTAGGAGACAAGAAGCTGATTTCTTTCTGATAAATTTGAACCTTAGGTGCAATCTGTAATCTGATAGCTAGTGATAGCATGATAGTAATGTTGGAGACATAATATAATAGTGTATTATTCTCCTTAAATAATAGTTCAATGAGGGAAACTATTAAATACAAAAACGATTATATCCACTAGCTTGCATATGTCTGCTGTAAAAATCTTAACTTGTGACTGAATTTTAATTTGAAAAGGTCCATTTACCAGTGAAGATATTATAAGAAATTATTCTAATCACAAATTAGCAATGAAAATTGTGCAACAATGTAGTAGACCAACAAGAAGGAGCAATTTACTGTATAAAGTTGAGCAAACTCATGAGCAAAGTACAAAAGATTAAAAACAATATGAGAACTAGCAATGGTAAGGTATGTGTGTATATATATATATATAATTATATAATTATATCATTATATATACCATATATTAAGATTGTGTATTTATTTTTTCAATGTATAAGTTGCCCCAGTTGTCCACATATCTCTAGATATTGTATAACAAGGAATAAAACTCCAGTATTAGTGTAGAGGCATATACTCTCCTATCCTGAGGTCTGTTTAAAAGGGCGATAATTTAGGGCTTCCCTAACAGCAGCATGCCTGGCTGAGGAATTCTGGGAGTTGAAGTCCACAAGTCATAAAAGGGCCAAGTTTAAAGATCCCTGTCCTAAGTTATTAGCTTTTTTTGATAAGTGAGGCCACTTTCACAAAAGCATTTGAAGTCATTGTTTATATTTTTGTAATTGGACAATTGTACGTTGAACTACACAGTGCTGAGATCTTAATTTTTTCATGGTCTTAATTATGAATAGAAATCCCATTAATGTATGCTGTTAAGCAAACTTTTCAGTCCCAAAGTTCATATAAATTGCTTGTTGCATTTTGGCAGTTTTGTGTATACATCCTACCTCTAGAGTAGCACTCTTATAAACACCAGAACTTAATTACTGAAACCATATCATCTGTGTCTCCCTCTTCTTACCAGCTATTGTGATTTCTACCTTTGGATCACCACTGTCATTTCTGAAGCAGGAATCCAGTGGTATATTTCCCACTGATTAGGTCATTGTGCTGGTATTTGGCTGATATTCAGGGAAATTGGTCAAATGTGCTTTATGCAAACCATTTATTTTTGTATTCAAATATTGATTAGGATTGCTCTAAACAACATTGTTGTATTAGCCATGGTCTACAACGAGTAACTTATATAGATAGTCCTTGACTTACGACTGTAATTATGGTTTGAAGTTACAGTGGCTTCGGAACTTTCTTATGACATATTCTGGAAGTTACAGTTGTTTCACCACCACACATGATTGCAATTTGGATGCTTGGCAGCTAGCTCAGGTTTATGACAATTGCAGTGTCTTGTGGTCAGGTGATCATCATTTGCAACCTTCTCAGCCGCTTTCCAACAAGCAAAGTCAATTGAGGAAGCCAGCTTAGCTTAACAACCACCTGATTTGGTAAACTACCGTAGTAAATTCTAGTCCCAATTATGGTAGTAAGTTGAGGACTGCTTGTAACAATAAACATGAATAAGCATTGGAAGACAACAGCAACAGCTATTAAGACTGACTCCTGTTGCTAATTTCAACAGTCTTCTGCATATTCAAATTGTGAAATTGACTAAATCAATTTCTAGTCAAATTTTGTTTCCATTTTCATATATTCCAGCCAGATGCATAAAGTACACTTTCTAATTAGCTTCTGAAAAGTTTCATGCATCCCAGAAATATTTATAGTGCTTAAGTATGGAATTTAACTTTTAACTTTAACTTTTTCCCTCTACAGAAGATGATGCAATTGAACTTCCTCTAACATTTAAGCCCCAGTATGCTGGTCGATATCCTTGCCATATCCTTCTGGAATCTAAATATGACGTCCGCCTCTTTAAGATAGAATGTGTGGTGAACACAGATACCTATGAGGCTGAACTAGAGTTTGTAACTCCAGCATATCAAGCAGTGATACAGGACATCCCAATAGTATGTCTTTTTTTACTTTATAAAAGTTAAATATGACATATTAAATAAATTAAATATTACTATAGTCAAGATGCTATTCTGAAAACTAACAAACTAAAATACAGTTATGCAAAAAATGTCAACACTTTTTTCTATAATTAGTATTTAATTAAGGGAGTAAGTTCACATTCATTGTAGCAGCAGGAGGAAACAGAAGACTTTTATCCCTTCTCTTTATTGCATTCAAAACATCTATCTGATTTCAACTAAACTGTGAAATCTTTCTAGCAATATAATGATTTATTTACTGTATAACTCAATCCAATATAGGTTTATTCATATATTTTCTACGAGTTTAAACTTGAATTCTCATTCATGTTGTTTCTAGCTACATTTCAGCACATTAACTACAATATTTTATATCAGGTCCTCTCTCTTCCCTCTCTTCTGTCAATATTAGATGAAAGATGTTAATCTTTCATAGTAAATATTTTACTATTTTACCAATTCAACAATAATTTGGCAGTTTATGTAAAAATCAAAATATCTAAAATCATAGTATCTTGTTATTGCAATATTGAATTGTGATTTTTTTTCTGTGCTGTTCCTTAATAGTTCTTATATGTCTTGCACCTCATAAAATATCGACTGCTTTTATATTTTAGACTAATCTGAGTCAACAAGATTGGAAACTTAAAGCAGATTTAAAAGGATACTGTTTTTATGGTCCTCCTATTATATATGTAGTCCCTGGTGAAACAACTCTGTATCCTCTCATGTTCAAGCCAACTGCTGAATGTGTAACTATGGTAAGAAATTAAAGCATTGCTTGTGTATGGTTTTTTGGTCCTTTGGTATGATATTCGCTTGCACTTATGACAAGAGTATTTTAATCATATATGCATCATATGCTAACAGTGACTATAAATCAGGCTAAAGTAGCATGCAATGTGTAAATATGTGTAAGCACATATAAAATAAAATCTAAACCCAGAGCTTATAAAATGTTTTCTATAGCCATCTCTATTTCAGTTTATCTTTTGATCATTCACTAAATTATTAACTCTTTGATTACTTTAACACAGAGAGATAATCCAGAATTTCAGGAATCAGCATATAGTATTGACAAGCTATGTGGTGATATAGCTCATACGTTAATATCCACTTGCTGCTCCCATTCTTAGGTGCAGCTAAAATAACCAGAAATTCAGAAATTCATTTTTTGTGGTGTCTGGCCTTTGGACCTTTATCCTTCCCAGATATTAGATTGGCCCCCAACATTATGTCTTTTTGTAAGGGCTTAAAGATGTGGTTTTATTATCAAGTTTGGAGATCCAGGTGTTTGGTATAGCTTATGTAGTAACTTAATTGCTGTTTGTGATATTTGTAACTTGTCTGCTGACTGTACTTGTATATTTTTTACATAATTTTTAATTCCTGCTAGATGCTAAGAATCATGAATTTGAGATAGGCAGCAGCCATATAAATTGAAATAATTAATAAAGGAGCTTATCTGCTCCTGAAAATACCAAGGAAGTCCTTCTTGGGTGTAGTATTACCTGGACATTCTAGGTTTATAGGCTAGGTTGTATGGATGTGTCTGAAATAATAAGAAGGTTGGTGAGCATATTCATAATATAAGGAGAAAAGAACAGAATGCATACGTGAAAGTACAGTTTCTTTTCTCACTTTCAAGTAGCTCTCTGTTCTGAAGCAAGGTCCCCGCAAAATCCAAATGGGTCTCTCCTTGATAGCCTTCTGAAAGGACTTGGAAGCCTGATTATTCTCCTAAGCCTTGGGATGTGTGGATGGATTCCAGTTTTAGAGAGCCATTTGTATGTTACTGGGATTGCCATCTTGTAACTACCTTGTACAAAGTAGTTCTCGATTTACCACCATTCCTTTAGCAACTGTTCAAACTTACAATGATGTTGCAAAAAGTGTCTTATGACAGGTCCTCACACTTTAAACCATCACAGGATCCCCATGATCAAGTGATCAAAATTTGGGCAAACAAAATCAGTGGGGGAAACTGAATTTGCTTAACGATCATATAATTCACTTAACAACTGGGGTGATTTACTTAACAACCATGGTAAAAAAAAATTGTAAAATCAAGCATAACTCATTTAATAATCACCTCGCTTAGCAACAGAAGTTCTGGTCTCAACTGTGGTTGTTAATTGATGACTATCTGTAATTTTGGGGGGATTAATTTTTATTCTTATTGGTTTTTTTGTTTTGCAAAAATGTATTTTGCCCTGATAATAAATGTTCATTTCTTTTCTATAATCATAGGGGCAGCTTACTTTACAAAATGAAGCAGATGGTACGGATCATATCTTTCTCTTGAAAGGAATTGCAACAAAACCATTGGCACTGGATCATATTAAGATAGATTGCCAAGTTAGACAAACTATACAGAAAGTCATAATGGTGCCAAATTTTACCAAGAATGAATTGATATACAAGGTATATATGTCAGTTGGAATGAGACTGTATAATTGTTTTACAGAATGTTCAGTCTAATAAATATACAATGAAACCTCAATGTAACGGACCCTCTTTTAGGAGACTTTGGATGTAGAAATTAAATTGCTCCACAGACATTCCCCTGAAATAATAGACAAGTCTATTGCTTGTGACATAATCTAAATGACTTTGGTAAATTTAAACTGGTTTTATATCATTCAAGCTGATTTGTATCATATTATTTGCAAATGATGCAAATAACTTCATTTTTGATGACCTGTGCAATGATGTCATTATACAAATGATATAAAGCACCATCATTGATGTAATATATGAAGCACTGGGCTTTCAGAAATAAAAGGTATTCTATTCATCCAACTAGTTTGAGATTCCTTTGATCTTTATTAATTAAATCATCTTCCATCTTGTGATCCTTTATATGCTCAGAGTAGTAAAATAACAGAAATAAAATTTAATATTTTTCTCTCTTTTCATAACATCTTCTCAAAATCAGAAGATTTGTCTTCAAAACCAAAAATAAGAAATGCTTCAATTGTGTATTTGTGTTTATTTATTTTTAATATTTTAATACAGTATTAAATGAAGAAACTAGTTTGTTTTGGTGGTTAAGGCATCAGGCTAGAAACCAGGAGACGGTAAGTTCTAATCCCACCTTAGACACAAAGCCAACTAAGTAAGCTTGGACCAGTCACTCTCTCTCAGCCCTAGGAAGTAGATATTGACAAATCAGTGCTAGAATCTTGCCAAGAGAACATGTGGGGATTTTTCCAGGCAATCACCAAGAATCAACATCGACTTGAGGGTGATCATGAACACACACACACACACACACATAACCACCACCACCACCACCAAACCCCAAACTTATTCAATGCATGTTTAATAAAATGTTTACATTCTTCCAACCTCCCAACTAGTGAGCAGTTTTAACATACTTACTTTCTATAAACTCACACAATTCTCAATTAGATATAATTTTAGACATTTTAAAGATGCTAGTATGTTCCAAAGATTAAATAATTGCAGGGCATAGCCCCAGCTTTAGAATGTACAGAATATTTGTCCTTTTCATCTGCTGTTGATTATCAGTCTGGTATATGACACAGAATTTGGTCCTTGGCATAAGATACCCCAGAACCTTAAATTCAATGAAGTTGCCTTCAGATTGTCTTGTTACCACTTCTACTCCATGTTTATATTTTTACCTGCAATCCCACCCAAGTAGCTGACCTTAAAGATTTTGTTAACTATGAAGGAAAGTTTTAAACCATTGGATACAAGTTGGGTGGCAAATAAATTTCATAAACAATAAAAATAAATCAATACTTATGTTCTGCACAATGATTTAAGCAGAAAAAACCCCTGTCAAATATCAGGACAGTACAATGCTTTAAGTGCAACAGAAGAGGTTTGCTCAAATTTGCCTTGTTGCTGGCTTATAAGAACATTGTGTCTAGTATGTTTATTTGGTGGAATAGCTTTTTTTAGTGCAAAGTATGCTTATTGCAATAACAAAAGCAAGTACCAGGGGGACTTATGATAACTAATAGTCAACTGCTGCAACTATCTGATTTTTCATGTGCAGCTGTAATGATATTAAAAGAAATTTAACTACTATTAATCTTTTAGCTTAGAAATTATTGCAGAATCCTGCATGTAAGAAAAATGCTGCAAATATATATTTTCCAAGCAAATTTTTCTGAATATACAGCTTAAACCAGTAATGGGGAAAAGATTCTGTGTTGTCAATAGCTTAGTCTTTGGCAAAGCCTGGGAAGATTGGTCTGCTTTCCTTATTGCCATAGGCTCCTGTTAATTGGTGAAAAACTGACATCCAGAAATACTCAGTCTCTTTCATTACCGTATTAGAAAAATCTATTGGACTTTTATGACTTTAAATTATTATTTTTATATTATAATCTGACATTGGTCTCAATTCCAACCATAAATAGATTTAGATCTGCGGTTATTGATATTAAGGATATAATTTTTCTAGTACAAGAGTTGCCTTTGACTTCTGAGTGCTATGCTCGGGGCCTGCATTAGAAGAAAGGTAATACAGTTAAAGCAAATTAAATCAGATTTATTTCATTTTAATTTATACTTAATTATCTAGTTAAAATATTTCTCCTTAGTCATATATTCAATAATTTTTCTCATTATTAAACAATTAAAATTTTAACTTTTGTAGATCTTTAGGATGTGTATCTTTAGGAGCTTTCAAGAGCTGCACGATGTCTTGAGGTTTCAGGCTGTCTACCTCTAGTTTACATTATTCTACTTGTATCAATTACACATGTTATCTATCCCCTGAGAAAACAGTTTTTAACACTAGAATGGAAAGAGGAAAAATATTCTTTTAACATAATGAATACACATACACAAACACACTTAACATACATACACACATACCTCTAAAGTATCACTTTGTAATTTTTTTAATGACAAATGTCAATTAAAATGATTTGTATGTCTACATTATGCATATAGAAGTATATAGAGTATTTCTTGCTTTTTAAACTTACTGTATGATTTTAAAGTGTTAGAAAAAAATCTTGATCTTGCAAGCTTTATTTTGTCAGAACTTTTCAAAAGTTATTACAGTGGTACCTTGGTACTTATTGTTAATTGGTTCCAGGAGGTGCGATGAGTACCAAAAATGATGAGTACCAAACAAATTTTTTCCCATAAGGAATAATATAGTGAGTCACAAGGTAGCTGACACCAACAAGTTCTAGCTTATGCATTGAGTACCAAACAAACAATGAGTGCCGGGACAAAATGTTCACATTGTAATGCCTTAAGTACCAAATTCAGTGAGTTTCAAAGCAGCTGGGTACCAAGGTACCACTGTATACCTAAATGTGATAGATTTGAAATGACACCCTAGAAATATTTTCCTTCATACAATAGTCAATTAAGCTGGAGTACAAGATCTAGATGATTACTAGATTGCAGCAAAATGGTCAAAGTGATAGCAGCAACAAGCTACCTTTGCAATGTAGTTATTTGCACTTTTATAGTGAATACCTGGTAGTTCTTATTAAGCATGGTAGAAAAATACTGGCATTTGAACTCATTTTAAGAGCAAAATTTTCTATACTATTTGCAGGAAAATTGTAATGGAGCTTTTTTTTTTCTGGTCCTATTAGGTATCTTCTGATCTTTCCATAGTGAGTGGTGAAATGACTTTGAAGGTAGAACCTGAGGATACAGCTGCCTATACGCTGAATATATCTCCATGGAAACGGGGAAAATTTAATGGTATGTTTTAAATTTAACCTAGTGTTAGATTACAACTATGGGATAATTAACAGATGATTAACAAGGAATGCTAACTACTCATTAAATTATCTGATCTCTAACCTGTTCTATTTTTCAAAGAATCAATTACAAAAACTTTTTCCTTCTTCCTGTTTTAAAGCCCATTAAATATAATTCTAATCTAAAACATATGTTTCCCAGCCCATTGTCTCTTCTGGCCTGTTGCTTTTCATCATGTTGAACTTGGTTTGTATCATTTATGTCTCTTGTGATTCGATTACTTCTTTCATAGACGTTTTTTGCTACATTTGTCACAGCGGTTCTTAGCGCTAAAGAGGGTAATCATTTTTTAAATAAAATAGCAACCTTCTTGATGAGTAGCAATATCTATAGAAAAAGCCATTACTTGTCTTCTGGGATTCTCATGATTTCCTTACCAGTAATGTCAGTTATTTTGAACAAAACTGACCATACTTATCAAAATATATCTACCCTTTTAAAGTTATGTCATAATGCTTCACCATACTTTAAAACACTGAATGATGTTGATTATTCAAAAGAAGGAAATCTTTAGTTTACCATTCAAGTATTTACCCATTCTGCAAATGGGAAATAACAAACTTCAAAAACATTGTAACATTTTATTGGGCTTATAGTCTCAGTCAGACACTGGAACATTTTGTAAATATGACTTTTTAGCATGTGAAAATAAGTAATGGGTTAGTTGTCTAGTTTCCCATCCTCTTTCCATTGCAGCCATTATATTCTTCTCCTCCTCTCCTTTTTAACTGAAAGTGCAAAATGAGATATTGGACTGATGCTTTGTCGCTGTCCCCTTTATGTTTCTGCAAACCTATGTTTCCTTTCCTTTTCATATTTATACTTGACCTGTTTTTAACTGGTCTGAGTGCTCCTTGCACCTAATTGATAAGAAATGATTTTATTTTTTCCCCTGAGAAGATGAATTTGAAAAAGGGGTTTTTTTTACTTTAATTCCCAGAATTCGTCTTCACAATCACTATAATGTCTTTAAGGGAAAAATAAATCCTCCATGGTGGTTCACTGAGACATCTACAGCAGAGAAACTATGCCATTCCCCTCTTTTCTTACTGCAGGAGAAAATATGTTTAATGTTAATTGCTAAAAAATTGGCAGGAGAACAGTTTTCCTCTGGGAGCTGGGAATTCCTCTAGGATTTCTAATTTATTGTTAACCAACCTTAAAAAGTTGTTGAAGAGGCATCTTGTATTAATGCAGATAGCTTTGGACAGCTAACAACAAATTTCTGACTGTTGCTATATATCTTTTCCAATTCTAATTACCAAAATGGATAATTCATTTTCTAAAATTTGTTTGATATGTAATGAGCAGATCATTATTTCATATCTGATGGTGATGTTGCAAAATTCAACAGTCCTGGAAATTGACCCATACTGGAATGAAACAACTTTTGCCACAATGAAATAAATCCCATTTCCACCTTTTATAGTTTTTTAAAACTTTACTGTACCATATATTCCTTACATTTCTACTAAGTTAATTTTGTATATGTTAATTGTTTCAAGGTTATTATGTGGTTTTTCTGGAAAAGCTGTTAGCAAAACTCTCATAACTGAAGGTTATTCATGTTAGCTAGATTAACAAATAATAAACCTTTCTTAAGTTCATATAGTCCTTAATGACTTGTTGAAGAACAAAAACCTGTTCTCCACATCACCTAGTGGTAATAATGTCACATTACACTTCCCAAGTTTTGTTCATTATCACCTCCTGTATCATTTCAATCAGAATTCTATCAAATGTGTCTGTAAGTTTACCTAACAAACTAATTACCCTGTATTTTTGCATAGTCTCTCAGGCATAGTCTCTGCCTTTTACAACTCTTAACTATTCCTTGCTCTTTAACTACATCCTTTTTTATACATATACATTATGAAATATCTTCATGTCTTTTTCGCAGCATTTATTTTCTTACATGGCTTTCCCTCCTTATCCACAGTCTGTTTAACTTCATCCACCAAGTATTATTTGTCTTACATTCCATTCTATGTATTTCTGTGGAATTTTATTTTTTCCAAGCAAATGTGTGTAATGGGCGGAGGAATAACCTTGAATAACTGGATAGCAACCAAGACAATGGTCAGATAAAAGAAATATCAAAACTCAATTTGAATTAAAATTTTGGATATTCTTCTGTAATTAAGCACAATATCAGCATTGAGATGAAGATAGCAATTGATCTTATGAAACAGATTATTTCGTTAATAGAACATCTGGTAACTATTTGCTTAGGTATAATTGTATTTGTTGCTGAAGAGAGAGAACAGCAGCAGTATCAACAAAACTCTTTACTGGAAGAGCCAGATGGTGTTCAGTACTCTCAGAAATCATCAACAGAAAAGCTTGAAACAGGCAATGGGGCAAACAGTGGTAGGTTTTTTAAATAGTCGTTTTATTAGTCTGCTTAAATGTTCTATCATCAGTCATTTTGCATTGAAATACTTATTTTATATGTCAAATCAGATTCTCCTTAAATAATGCATTTTGCCTGATTCTAAGACAAGTATCTATTTGTTGTGCAGAAAACCTATCTATTTTTCAATGTATAATCAGATTGTATAATCAGTTTTTTCCTAGTGTTATAAAATTAGCATTTCTTTTCATTAAGAATATTGAATTTGAGCATAAGTTTCAAAGGTTTCTTTGGATATTAACTAAAATGTTTATATGGTCAGTATATACAAATATAAATTAGCATTCTAGTACAAATAAACTGGGAATGCTTCTTGGTCAGTAAATATTGTATGGCATGAATATTAACTATTTTGTTATTTTTCAATTTTAATATGCAGTCTTTGTTTGCATTTAACATTTATGCTCAGAATATAATAGATACATGGCTCATAACCAATATAGGAGTCTTGGGATAATCCTGAGCCACATTCTCATCTTAAATAGAAGGATATTATTTGACAGAAGCTCCTTTATCTTCTGCACTTGAGGAAACTGTAGAAATTGTAAGAAACATACCTTCAGGACCATATAGAGCCCAGCTTATTTTACCAACCAAAAACCTCATGTGATTTCCCCCCCCTCTTTCTAACCGTCCTCCTAGTATTCTCTCCTGATTATTTCGAAAAGTTTGAAATGGAAAATGTGCTTTATTTTAACCTTGGGACTTGGGCCTAGCTGGAACTGTAACACTTCATTAAGATCTTCTGACATCTATTTAGCCATGCAAGAATATGTTCTGGCTTAATGTCAGACCTGCCTTAATTTGAACCTTTAAGCAAGAACAACCCTTAACTCCATTTGTTGAGAAAGGTCAAATGAAATACAGTAGAGTAAAGCCAGAACTGAAAAGTGCACACCAAAATTCCCAAGTGTAACTTCCCCCACTTTAGGTGCATCCCCCTGCTGGTCCCCACTGTCTAATCAAATTCAAAGCGATTGTTTTTGGAATGGTTGATTCACACGTGGGCTGGAATATAGCTGGGGTCTGTTTTCAGCTATCTGACTTTGAAGTCACATCTCTGGGTGAAAACAGTGAACTCTTCCTTACCCCTGAATCCTCCCTCCTCCTAGCCGGAGTTCATGGCAGACTGCATCAAGCGATAGCAGAGCACAAGTGTGAGATGGCAGTTCTGACAGAGATGGGTGGAGTGGTTGGGAGCTGTAGTATTAAATAATGAATGTCAAGAAATAAATTTTGAGACAAGCAAAAATGGTTATCTATAAGAGCATCCTTCACCCTCCTTTTTGTATTGAAGTAAGAATTGAGGATGTCAGAAAAATCCTAAAAGTAGTTTGAATAGAGTGCTCATGGGAAACTAAGTGTGTATGAAAAAGAAGGAACAATATGGACAATGCAGAATGAATGCAGAATGCAAAATGAATGACTGCTCATTATGAAGGAAGTATGTTAAAGTAATTTCGTTCTACGGAAAAAATAAGGATCAGGTAATATTAAGTGACTTGGGGGGAATTGCTAACATTTTGGAAGATAGATTCAAGATTCAGAAGGATCTTGACAGGATCTATGCCAAAAGATGCAGTTTCAATGGCTAGAAAATTAGTATCTTGCATTTAGACAGGAAAAAACAGATGCACAGGTACAGGCTAGGCAGTACTGGCTCAGTAATGGCTATGAGAAGAATGTAGGATCCTGGTGGACCACTGCTTAAGTATGAATTAGGAATAATGCTACAACTGCTCAAAAAAACCCACAGTCTTGGGCTGCATCAACAGAGGTAGAGTATCAAGATCAAAGTAAGTAATAGTACCACTCTATACTGCACCAATGAGGCCATAATTGGGATGCTGAATCCAGTTCTGGTCATCACAATACAAAAAAGATGCTGAAGCCCTGGAAAGAATGGAGAAAAGAGCACCAAAGATCATAAGAAGTATGGAGGCTAAATCCTATGATGAACAGCTAAAGAAACTAATTATATTTAGCTTAACAAAGAGAAGACTGAAGGAAAACATGATAGCAGTCTTCCAATACTTGAATGGCTCCTACAGAGAAGATGGTATCAATTTATTTTCTATAACATCTGTGGACAGGATAAGAAGCAGTGGGTGAAAACCTGTCAGAGATAGCTCCACCTTGGAAATAAGGAGGAATTTTCTGACAGTGAGAACATTAAGCAGTGGAACAGGCTGCTTCTGAAGTTGTGGGTACTTCATTGTTGGAGATTTTTAACAAAAGATTGTATAACTATGTGTCTGAGATGGTATTAGGACTCTTGCTTTGAACAGAGAGTTGGACTGAAAGATCTTTAAGGTCCCTTCCAACTTTAGGATTGTTTGTTTCTATGGGTGAGCCTGCCATTATAAATATAAATCGGCTATATAAACCAAATAAATGAGTAAGTAAATACATTTGTGTTTGTGTGTGTGTGTGTGTGAGAGAGAGAGAGAGAGAGAGAGAGAGGGAGAAGGGGAGAGAGAGAGAGAGAGAAAAGGTGCTTCATTGTTTAAGACTGGGGTGTCAAATTGCCGGCCCGCGAGCTGGTTGCATCAGGCGGAGGCCGCCCCCACCTCAGCTCTGGCAATACGAAAAAAGTTGCGATACATCATGACACATCACATGATGTGGCGAGTTTGACACCTGTGGTTTAAGGCATCCAATGTTCACCACTCAGATGACATATTGACTCTAGAAAGCATATAGTGGTTTAGGGCTTCCAGCCTATATTTTCCAGACTATATTCCAATGTGTATAATTTAATTAATATAGTGATTGGTACTGTCACAATCCTAAGAAAATAAATCTCTCAAATCATTCTACTCCTTGGCAGTGTATTTGAAATACTCAGGATATTTCAAAAAGAGCTATGATAATTTAAATACTAAAATGCTAAAATGTGCATGAAATGCTTCAGCCAAAACTCAGGACCGACCTTCCTTCCTTCCTTCCTTCCTTCCTTCCTTCCTTCCTTCCTTCCTTCCTTCTCAGAATACAAGTCATCATGCTGCAAAGTGTGGTTCTCCTTGGAAATGCATAGTATGCCAGCACAGCCAGAAAAAACTCTGAAGGTTGAATGTGCAGTTTTGGTAAGTCAGCTTTCATTAATAATGCCGGGAAGTATATTTTAGTTGTATGGTGAATTGTGATTTTACTGATGAGGCAGGATTCCTATTTTCTGTCTTCCAGGAATCCCCTTATTTTAGAAAGATGTCAAATTACTGCTGTGTTTTATGGTGTAAAAAGAAAAAGAAGGAAAAGGTGCTTGGACAAATGCCTTGATATTCTTTTATTATACAGTTTAAGTCTTTTCTTAAACCCCATCATCTAAGACTATAGAGTAATTTACTGTAGTCTGAAGCTTCTTTGTCCTTATTGTGGGATAATTCTGTAAAATGTTATATTTTCTAATCCATCATGAACTTTTCTAAGACAGTACAGTGAATATTACTTAAAAAAGTAAGAAAAATTATAGGATTGTGTGCACTGTCCATACATTCATCTATCCTTCAATATGTTGCTCATTTTGAATCAATTTTTAATTTTAATATAATTGCTATATTGGCGCAATGGTTAGAATGCAGTATTGCAGGATAACTCTGTCCACAGCCTGGATTTTGATCCTGATAGGCTCAATTTTGATTCGGCCTTCCATCTTTCTGAGCTCAGTAAAATGAGGACCCATATTGTTGGGGGCAATATGCTGATATTTGTAAACCGCTCAGAGATGGCTGAAAAGCACTATGAGGTGGTATATAAGTCTAAGTGTTATGGCTATAACTACTGATTATTCTAATTTGCAAATTATTGGGATTGAAGTCCAAATATCCACAGGACATCTGAGTTGTTGCTACAGTTGTTATATATGTTTTTACATTATACAGTTGTTATACATAATGTTTTTATTTCTAGATATGTTGGGCTTTTTAAATATTCTATTATATAGTATATGATTCACCAATAGATTTTTTTCTGAAATAAATTTCAGAAAGGAGGTAAGAAATCTTGTGCCAGGATTACACAGAGGGATTAGCATAGAAATTTCATATATATAAGAAATGTCTTCTTATCGTAAAAATGTCAGGCTCAGAAAAACTCAAAAAATCTTGCTATTTCATGAAAAATATAGAAACTGATAAGAAAATGTTAATGAGAATAATATCAAATGAGAACTGATGGTTATTGTCAGAGGACAGGAAGGGACAGGAACTTCCTAGACAAGGCATTCATCTCTTCTTTACTTACAGTGATAGTTAATACATATATTGTAGGAAAAGAGCCACATTAGAGCAGCAAAAAAACACAGAAAGAATAAAGTTTTGTGATTGCTTTCCATCATAATTCTTAAAGTACTTTTGTTTTTTTTTCTTTAGCTGATGTAAGAATGTTAATGCTGAAAATGTTATTATTATTACAATAAAATCTGCATAGAGAAACAACTGCATTAATTTATCTTGCCAGTTCATAAGAAGCAACTATCAAAAAGAGAAATACACCATCCCTAGAGAGAGAAAACTTTGATTAATACAGAATAACTGCTAAAGATTACTATAATCAGTTCTCTGATATATCACTTTAGGCCTAGCATTAATCAGTACATAATTATCTTCAAATGCAAGCTGAAAAGACCAAAAATATGGTAACTAGAATATACTATTCACTGTATACCTTATATGGATATTTAAGAAAAGGAATTGCTTAATGTGCTATATGTATGTACACATATATGCAGATTTTTAATTTGCTTTTTAAATATAAAAATATTCTGTTGATTTTTCACTCTGAATACTATAAATAAATGAATAGTATAGTCTCAGTTTTTAAATTCATAGAGAAGAAGCTTGCTTTAAACACTTTCAAACACAAATCTATAATACTTGTTTTTTTTCTGTATTAAATTGCTCCAATTAACAACTCATTACTGAATGAGAAGTTGAAATAGCTACAAGGTCTCCCCCCCCCCCTGTTTCAATATGCAGTAACTCTTGGTAACCGGAATAATATCAGACTTGATTTTGAGGATAGTTACATTAAATGCATCATCAGATTGAAAACATATTAGTGATCACAAATATAAGGATTTGTTTTTTAAAAAAAATAATTTTGTTTGCTGAATAATGTGACAAACTTTCATCGTTAGTCATTCAGTCATGTCTGACCCTTGGCCACTCTATAGATCAGCACACTCCATGCCCCTCTGTCTCACATTGCCTACTTCCTCTCCACTGTGGTCATCCAGGTGTCATTCTTTATAGTGTCCAGCCAGTGGGTACTACGATGGCCCCTTCTCCTTTTTCCTCTGATTACTCCCAGCATGATTTGCTTTTCGAATGAATCAGCTCTCATGACATGACCAAAGTATGATAGCCTCTGTTTGGTGATCTTTTTGGCAATGTTTTTGGTGAGGGTCGGTCTAGGACTACTTTGTTATATTTGCAGTCCATGGCATGTGCAATAGTCTTCTCCAGCATCACAGTTCAAAGACATTTACCCTTTTCCTATCTGCCTTTTTCAGAGTCCAGGTTTCGCAGCCATAAGTAGCAATTGGAAAAATTATTGCGTTAACTAATCTACATTTGGTTGTGAGGCCAATGTTTTTACTCTTTCAGACGTTATTCATACCAGACATTGCAGTTCTTCCGAGTGCTATATGCCTTCTGATCTCAGGGCTGCAGTCACCACTTTGGTTGATTTTAGAGCCCAGGAAGATGAATTCCTTTACTGTTCCAATGATGAAATAGGCCCCCAAGGCCTTGCCGACCCACTAAGATACCTCATGCTTCCCCCCCCCTTTCCTGAAGTGCTGGACTCACCTTGAAAAGATCTATCTCCTCTCTGCCGCGGTTTTTGTCTTTGAGGGAGAGGAGAGTCAATGGAAGCTCCTGGGTGCCCGTAATATCATGGGAGTCCAGGCACTGATCCTCTTTTGCACTGAATGGGAGCCTGAACTCTCACGGTGTTTGCTCCCGTCCCCAACTCCTTTCCGCCACTGCTGGAACAATTTTTACCACGACGGAGACCTTGGGGAAACTAGAAGCCTCGCTTTGTGGCTCTGCTTTTGCCAGAAAAAGCTATTTCTCAAGCCCCTTCCTGGTGAAAATAAGCCTCTGGAGGCAGTGCGCTTACTCCGGAGGCTTGTTTTTGCAGCATTGCTCTCAATAAGGCCGGCTTGCTCCAGAGGCTTGTTTTCACAGGATTGCTCTCAATAAGAGCGAGGCATGCTTTAGCTCCATTTTTGCCAGGAAGGGGATTGAGAAATGGCTTTTTCCTGGTGAAAACAACCTCAGGAGCGAGCGCGCCTCACTCTGTGGCTCTGTTTTTGCCAGCACAAGCCATTTCTCAAGCCCTTTTTTGATAAAAATGGAGCCAAAGAGCGAGGTGCGCTTGCTCTGGAGGCTTGTTTTCATCAGGAAGGGGCTAGAGAAATGGCTTGTGCTGGCAAAAACAAGCCTGCGAGCCTGATGCTGGCAGAGTGAGGCAGCGGTGGCCAGAGCAGACCCTTCCATGTCTCTCCTCACTTCCCCAAAGCCTCCCTTCACTAACCTTTCCAGCTCCGTTCTCCGCCACCAAGTGTAGAGCAACAAAAGAAGTTTGTAGGACTATGGGTAAAAAAAAAAAATTCAATCAGACCTTCCAACTTTGCGAGATTTTTTTCCCCCCCGCAAGAAAAGGGTAGGTAGGATTGATCTCTTTTTTTTAGTCCTTTTGCCCCGCACACAGAGAGCGGAGCTGGAAAAGAGGTTAGTGAAGGAATGTAGTTACCTCGGGTGTGGATTAGGATTTGGCATTGTGGATGCCCTGGGGTATGGTGAGGGTTAAGATTTGGCATTGTGGATGCCCTGGGATGTGGTGGGGGTTAGGATTTGTTTTAGCACCTATGGAGTGCTTCCAAATGCAGGGACTGGCTGTGTTTGGAAGCGCTGTATAGGCGGTGAAAGACTTTTTATCCCAACGGAGATCTGGCAGAGACTGCAAGCTCCGTATGCCTGGAATGGGGCACTTGAGAAACAGAGTGCTCCTTTCCATGCAGTCACATAGGGTGCTTCAAAACGCAGGGAATCCCTGCATTTTGAATAGCCCCACCAGAGCACAAACACTCCACAATCCATAATGCTAAATCCTAATCCCCTCGCAGGAAAAAAAAAGATCTCGCAAAGTTGGAAGGTCTGATTGAACTTTTTTTTTTTTTTACCGGTAGTCCCACAGGCTTCTTTTGTTGTCCTGCACGCATTGGTGGAGAATGGAGCTGGAAAGGAGGTTAGTGAAGGGAGGCTTTGGGAAAGTGAGGGGAGAAGGGAAGGATCTGCTCTGGCCACTGCTGCCTCACTCCGCCAGCATCAGGGCTTGAAGGCTTGTTTTCACTGGAAAAAGTCATTTTTAAGCCCCTTCCTGACGAAAACAAGCCTCTGGAGCGAGCGTGACTCGCTCTTTGGCTCCATTTTCACCAGGAAGAGGTTGAGAAATGCCTATTTCTGGCTAAAACAGAGCCACAGAGTGAGGCGCGCTCACTCCGGAGGCTTGTTTTCGCCAGGAAAAAGCCATTTCTCAGGCCCCTTCCTGGCGAAAACGAAGCTAAAGCATGCCTCGCTCTTATTGAGAGCAATCCTGCTCTGCGCCTCCATTTTCTTATACTCAGACAGAGCAGAAAAACTCAAGCCTGCCACTCAAACACCTTTCATCCGAACGGAGACCTTCCAATCTCTCTCAGGTCTGTGTTTGGATAAAAAGTGTTTGAGTTTCTCCGCTCTGTTTTGAAGGAAGAAACCGGAGGTGCAGAGCAGGATTGCTTTCAAGAAGATGCAGGTGCTCTGCGTGCGCTGGCCTTATTGAGAGCAAGCCTGCTCTGTGCCTCCGTTTCCTTTCACTCGGAGCAAAGAAACTTAAGCTGCTGCTGCTCAGTGAGTGAGTGAGGAGGAGGAGGAGGAGGAGGAGGAGAGTAGTGAGGATTTGTGCTGGCCAGGCAAGGACTAGGTCAGGCGGGGTGGGTGGCTGGCTGGCTGAGGAGGAGTATCATGGCCGGTGAGGTGGTTGCCGTTGCTGCCAGCTTGGATGCAGGTGCAAGCGACCTAGCCCTGCGATGCCTCCTCGCTCAGTTGAAGGCTTCGTTCCTGCCCTCACACCAAGGCTGGTGCACGTGAGTGAGCAGCGCACCCAGGCTGGTTCCTGCGCCTGGCTGACTCCAATTCCATGCTTTGCCCCATAGGAATGGAATGGAAGCTTCCGGGGGGGCATGACCTCTTTTGCAGAAAATTTGTGTTTGAACTCACATGATATTATGGCACCCAGGAGCTTCCATTTGTTGGCGCAAAAAGCATTTCAAGCCGACTGTCCTCTCCCTCAAAGAGAAAGAAACTGCAGCAAGCAGGAGACAGATTTTGTAAGGTGAGATCTTTTTTTTTTCCGCGAGAAGTTGGAATTGATTGATTGAACTTTTTTAGTCCCATTTCTTTTTTTGTGGGACTGCAAATGGCGGAGGAGGACTGGGACCGCAGTAGAGGGATGAAAGAGCTGGTCTATAGTGTATAGTTTGGATCAGTATACACACACACACGACTTTAGAAAAAAATTCAATAGAGGACAACCAAAATGATCAGGAATCTCAAAATGTCTTCATTCTGCCTTTCACTGCAAGGAAATGGGTCCTATTTGATTAGTCTGTCCAGGTAACTAATGGAATTAATGGGGTTCTAAAGGGAGCTTTGAGTTGTTTTTGATGGTCTGCTGTAAGGTCCAACTGAGGCCTTGATTGCCACATGAAAAGAATGAGCAGTAGGGTGTTTGGCTCAGATTGTATCTATGCAGCCCTTTCACAAATCTGGTTATGTTCCTGCCATCTTGACTTTTCTTGATACTCCATGGACGTCCCTGGGCAGATTTGTACACAAAGATTATTGATCCCAGCCAAAAATCAGCACTTTGCATTGACCTGTAAAGAAATTAAAATAGTTTTATTTTAAAATGATGTTTTTTATTTAAAAATGGCATCTGCATTTTGCAGTAAAGTATCTTATAAATCATCTAAAAGTTGGGAAATTAAGAGATCAGTGACAGTAGGCAGGACTGCTTACTCTAGGAAGAACTGGATGTACAACTGCAGATGTACAGCTTGAAGTAGTTGGACTCCAGAACATTTTGTGTCTCATTTGAATAGTTTTTACATTTGTACATTACTTGAGCTTTTTCATGCACAAGAGGTTATCCCTCATATCTGAAACATTTTGTTTGTTTGATGCCATGTGAAATACAGAGTTTTCACACCCCCAGAAACATTGCCTAAACTTTACCATTTGTTGCTTGCATTGTTATGTGGAGTTTTCCTTCTTTCTCTTTTGGATTCTTTGGGTGTATTTTCATCCTTAATGAGATACAGTCAGTAAAGGAACCTAAAAGATCCATACTATGTAGAGAATTGCAATACTGTTTCAAATAAACATTATTTCCCTGCCATTTTACCAAACTGTTTACTAAAGTTTGAAGATATCTCTCCTTTTGTCTCTTTTAGGATACTATTGACATTGGAATTCCAATAACTAATCCCACAGCTGATGTTCTGGAATTAGATGTAGAATTAATAGATGCTATTATACTTAGTGGTGAAAACAAGCTTGTTCTTGAACCAAAAGAAACACTGTTCTATGAAGTAAAGTATTCTCCAGCTACCACTGGCCATATGGACGGAAGGTATGTTCTGCTATTGTAGTTGATATAGCTCACACATTTCTTGTCATTAAAAGTTTTCAGTTTACCTTCATTCTGTACTTTATTGTGAACTTTCATATTTAATAAAAGCGGCTTATTGCTCAGTGCATTTATCTTATGAATGAGTGACTTTTAGATTGTTTCGGTACTTGGGTGTTTGTCTTTTTAATGTTGTTTTTTTAATGTTGTTTTATGAATATTTCTCTTTCGGGTACAACCTTCAAACTGATGGATTTTTTCCCTTGAAATACATTCCTGATGATGAACGACTTTTGTGTCATACTTTCTGTAAACTTTATTTCAGGCAACTAAAAATAAGATACAATTTTTAAAAAAATGGAAAGATAATGTTGATTATAGTTACATCTGATTACAATAACAGAGACTTGGCTCACCCAGCCAGAAAATATATATTTTTTCCAAAGACTACTTAGTTTTCCTGGTGACCTTTCTTGTGCTACTGAGAGGCTGTGCCATCTAGCTTTCAGAGGAACAAACAAAGCCCAACAAAGCTAATGGAAGAAACACAGTGGAAAAGGCAGTGATTGTTTTCTTCTGCCTTCACCACTGATTTTTTTCCTTTAGCTTCTTTTCTGTTAGACTGAAATCACTGTGATATGAATTTTGATGTAAACTTAGAAAGAAGTAGAATATGTTAATCTATTTCAGATTGTCTCCATGAAATAATTAATTGATTATTAATTAATCAGCCTATTTTTGGTGAAATTACCAAGAAAAGTATCGGCATTCTTTTTATCACTGAATATCATTACACATTATAGATTTTGAGATTGTAGTTTTACCTAAATAATGGGAAATAATGAAAGGAGCACAATTTATTGCAATTTTGGAGTATTTATGGTGCTTTTAAAAACAAAACTAGTTTTAGAGTGCAAAGATAGGATATACATATATTTATTTTAGCATATCCAAAATTCTGCAATATTTTAAGAAGAAATGTAATGCAATCTTACTTCTCTATGTTCTTTGTGGATTAGATTATTTTCTGTGGTCTGACCTTTTTAGTTTTATTTATGATAGTCTTTATGTTTTTTAAACCTAATATTCTTTTTAATTCTACTAGTTAGCCTATAGCAGTGGTGGCGAACCTATGGCACGCGTGCCACAGGTGGCACGCAGAGCCCTCACTGTGGGCATGCGCACCGTCGCCCCAATCCTAGGCCTTCAGCTGGGTTTTATAAAACCTTTTGGCTTTAGGCCTCCGCCGTGTGCAAAAAAAAAGGTTCAATCAATCAGTCAATTTCAACTTCTCGCGGGAAAATAAAAGATCTTGCAAAGTTGGAATTGATTGATTGAACTTTTTAGTCCCAACAAGGCCGTCGTTACCACTGCAGCCACGCCCACCCAATGGGCCACGCCCACCCGGCACCCGACGATACATAAGTGGGTTTTGGGTTGCAATTTGGGCACTCAGTCTCTAAAAGGTTCGCCATCACTGGCCTATAGATATACTGTATGGCTATATACTGTATGCCTCATGATTTACTTTGTGCTAGTTCATAATTTAGGAGGAGGAGGAGAAGGTGATCATGATGATAATGATTATGATAATTATGGTGTTGATGATGCTATAGACACCTAATCTGTGATTAGATGTAAGAAATTAATTGAAGTATAACAGAAAAATGCATTTTGCTGACCCCCTTTATCATCTTCCTTTCCACTTTGTTGCTGTCTTTTATATAACAAGATATTTTTACCAACAGATTTATAACTCTCATTTTAGTGTTATATTTACATCAGAGAAATTAGGAGAGTTTTGGTATGCGTTGAAACTGAAAGGACAGATGCCTCAACCAACAAGATTGCCTGAAGTAGAGTGTGAACTTGGAAAGTAAGCAATCCTACATTTAACCTGAATCATGGGTTTAGTTATATAACAGTACAACACAATATTATTTTCTTTTGGCTAAATTGTTCTTTTGATATTGAGACAACTAACCATTAGTTCAGCTCTTGGCAGACTTGGCAGGTGATTATAGACAATTAGAATTTTTACTGCAGACAAAAATGAAGTTTTCAGCATAATAGTTCATTGCCTACTACATTATAAATATTTTCCTGAGACCTACATAATACAGAATAACAGAGTTGGAAGGGACCTTGAAGGTCTTCTAGCCCACCCCCCTGCTCAAGTAGGAGACCATATACCATTCTGAACAAATGACTATCCAGTATCTTCTTGAAAATATCCAGTAATGGCATACCCCCTGGAGGCAAGCCATTCCATTTATTAATTGTTCTCACTAGCAGGAAATTTTTCCTTAAATCTAGGTTGGATCTCTCTTTGATAAACTTCCATTTGTTACTACTTGTGCTGCCCTCAGGTGCTTTGGAGAATAGGATGATCCCCTCTTCTCTGTCAAAAACCCTCAAATATTGGAAGACTGCTATCATATCACCCCCAGTCCTTCTCTTTGTTAGCCTAGACATACCAAAATGGAAATGATAGTTAACATAACTGGGAAAAACCTACCATTCATTTGACTAGAAAGCATAAACACAATCATCTTATTTTTTGTGCTCAGACTTCCAAGATAATCAAGACATATAACAAGTCTGCTATAATAAATGCTATTTTGAGGAGTTAATGAATGACAGGTTGCTTTTGGCAATTATTTGTATTGAAAGAAAATGCAGTTATTAGCACTTACGTTTTGAGTGTTACTAATTTTGTCTGGTTTTTCTGAAGACAGATTTTTATGGAGTGTAAGTGTGTATATTATCTTTTTCTGGGTGCAAAATATTTTTTTCAAAAACATTTGTAATTGGTGCATAGCTAGCATGATCTATATAGTATCTTAAAAACATACCTAATTTGATCCTAAAGCTCTTAAGTTTCATTTCTGAAAGCACTGTTATTGTAATACTTTAGATTTTTTAATACATTATGCTTGCTGTGTTAATTCTATTAGAGTCTATTACTGATTTTTAAATATGGTCATGGCTCTACCTTGAAGAGAATTGAAAGAATGCTTCTTTTCTTTGATCAGAGTTTCTGTCAATTCATAATGTCAAAATATGTTAAATCTTTGCCACAAAAATAGGATAATCAATATTAGCATTGGTAAAACATAATGAATAGTGCTGAAGATATTTGTTTGAATAACTTTTCAAAGAAAAGTAAGTGCTATATAAATAAAGTAACCAGCAGCAACATCAGAATTAGTCAAGTACTTTGTAATGATTAAATAACTGGATTTTTTTGTGATGCTTTGTTACAGATGGTTCCGCCAGCATATTCCTCTGGTTAATCCTACAAATGAAATTCTGGAATTGGAATATGTGAACAGCAATCCAGGCCACTTTTCAATGGAAATTAACCCCAAAGCCCAGGTAGGTTTTACTGATAAACATTTGTATTTATGAAAATGTTTCATATGAGATGTTTTCCTTTAAGAATTTAGATATTGCTCACATATTCTATTTAATTGTTTAGAAGAAAAAAATCTCTGTATGAACTCTGAATTTTGTAGAAAACAAGTGGAATTTCAGCCCAAAAGTTTGATGAAATTTATAGGGAACAGGTAAGACAAAGCCCAAGAATGATATACCGTAAGAGTTAGAAGTAAACAAATATCTTATTGGAACAAAGAAGAATTGTGCAATATAATGTAGAAGCCAGTACAATTATTTTGCAAAAAACAAAACAAAACAAAAACTAGAGTAGTTAATTATGGAAGTTTTATTGTTTAGCATTCCTTTATGTCACAAAGAATATATGAATTGAGTCTAAATCTTGGTGACTTCATAAACATAGTGTTGTCTTCACAACAGTATGGAATGGTTTGCTTTTGTCTTGTCTGAGGATGTGTTTTTCAACCTTTACTCTAGTTAGTAGCCTGGATTTCTTAGTGGTATCTCATCTAAGTATTAAGTGGGTCTGACATGTTTAGTTATTTTCAATCAACTAAAGCGAGCAAGATACAGAGTGGTGTAGCACTCTTTTTTTCATAGTAAATTGTGGATAGCAGATTGTGGCATTAAGAAGCAATAAACTCACATATAAGGTAAAAGCAAAGTATGATTTATTGAAGAAACCTAGGGAAAGGACAGAAAGATTTTAAAAGAATACGTTAAAGTGTTTTACAGAGTTGCACGTGTCAATATAAGGGAACTGCATGTTTTTTGCCATTTTTTGCAGAGAATCTTAGCAGAGACCGAAAATTTGTTGAATCTCTAAATTTTTCCAAAGCAGCTGAAGTTACCTAATTTATTTAAGTTTTAGTACTTCAGAATAGTCTGAGTCTCCTTTGAATCAAATCAGTCCTTTGAGCCCTTTAATAACTTTTGTAAACAGCTCCAATAAGCCAGTATTATTCTGTATTAGTTTCCCAAAACTTGTTTCCTTAAAATGAATAGATTGATCACAGATAAATCCCTTTCCAGTGGGATTTTTACATAGTCGCACAAGCACAACATCACTTGAGAATGGAGAATGGAATAGAAATAATTCTACTAAACTGAAGAGGAAGTGGAACCAACAAAAAGAGGGAAAACGAATCATTTTTTCTTTGGAAAGGTCATTCTTGTTACTAGAATTACAGTATCCAGCAAATGAACAAGAACAGATGAGGGCAACCTATTTCTCATTACCCTAAGGTCCCTTTCCTTAGTAGAACTATCTTCCAGATTATTTCTAGCACATGAAATTATCAGTTTTATTGTAGTAGAGAACTGTTGTCTGTGGTTTTTATGTGTTAGTTTGTAATAGTAATAATGTGCAAACATTTAGCCCAGACCTGGGCATTTTACAGCTCATGGGCCACATCCGGCCTTCTGGCTATCTCTGTCCCTGTCCATCCCAAACAGTTTAGAGGGATGTATTAAATCAGGCAACAATAAACTAACATCAAGCTTGAAACTGGATTGAAAATTATTTTATTGCTGAATGTGCATGTGATCCTTCCTTAAATGCTTTGAGCTTTATCACATCTTATAATGATTACGTGGCCATTGCATGTAGTCGTGAACCCATCTCTTTTAATTTAGAGTAAATAAGTCACAGCAGGATAGTTTCTTTATTCATATGAATGTGTATAACTATTGGAAGAGCATAGAGACACTGCAGTTAAAAATAACCTGGATAATGCTCTTTAAAAATTGCATTTTGACTTTTTAAGATTGTGTCACATGTAAGACTTAAAAGTATCTCTGTGATATGTAAAAAAAAGGAAAAAGAAATTCGACAGCAGCTCTCTTTTTCCCCATATTTTAAAAGTAAACCCAGTTTCATTTTTGTGGTTAGCAACACATTTTTTTAGTTTCCAGGGAATAAGCATGCTGTGATTTCACTTAGTACTGTTTACTACAGTGTATTTTATCAGTTTTATCAGTATTTTATCAGATTCTGCATGCTGAGAGTTGGGAAGGCATATAGTAGAACACATTAATCATGTAAACATCAACAGTGTTGATACAAGGAACAAGAAAAGAATGGATTGAAAAGAAAGGAAAGGAAAAAAAGAGCACTGGAGTTTTTTGTTTTTTTGTTTACTTGCTTGCTTTTCATCTCTCTCTTTGCTACCCATATTTTTGCAGTTGACTGTTGCTCCTCATTCCACCACTGAAGTATCAGTTCTGTTTTGTCCATCTGCACTAGGAAGAACAAATCACACTGCAAGCATAATTTTCAAATGTCCACAGGTAGGAATGTCCAATTACATTTAATGAATAAAAAAGTATCTAATATTTATACAAGTAATAGTTAGGCTGACAATAAAAGCTAGTTTTTATAACATGGCTCAATTGTAATTCTCTTCTTCCTCCCTCCTTGCCCCTCCTCTCTCTATCCTTCTCCTCCTGTTGGACAACTCATTCCCTCCTTCTGTCTAACCAAGAGGATTCCTATATACTTGGAAATAAGTTGAGAATTTAGGTCCCAAAATGCACCTCCAAAATTGGGTTTGGCTCATCCATAGATGTGCTTATCCATCAGTATATATGGTATATAAAGATAAATAGTTTTTTTCCTTCCTTCCTTCCTTCCTTCCTTCCTTCCTTCCTTCCTTCCTTCCTTCCTTCCTTCCTTCCTTCCTTCCTTCCTTCCATTTTTCTGAATATAGTTTATATTGTAATTAAGATCTTTATTAAGAATTATGGGGTGGGAGGGAGAACAGGTAGTCCTGGCTAAATGATGGTATTTGAGACCGTTATTTGCATTGCTAAGCAATGTAGCTATAAAACACAACATGTGGCCACATTACTTAGCAACAGCAATTTCAGCAATCTCTGTTGCCATACTGAATGAGGATTGCAGGTCATTAAGCAACTTCCTACTGGTTTCCAAAAAGCAAAGTCAATGGGAAAGCTGGTGGGAAGTCACAAGTCTCAGGTGGCTGATGGGCAGATAAGGGGCTGCAGTGTAGTGCAGAGCAAATGTATTGTAGCTGGGCAGGGGATGGATGCTTTGGAGGGTAGAAGAGTGCTGCTATAGACTGATACAAGTGCAGCTTGATGGGAATAGGTACTGTGTAGTGCAGGAAGTATGAAAGTGGCAGAAATGACTGGCAATCTTCCCTAACTGCTTCCTCATTGACTTTGATTTTGGGAAACCAACAGGGAAGGTAGCAAATGAAGATCACATGACCATGGGATGCTTCCATTATCATAAGTGCAAGCTGGTTGCCAACCACCCAGATCCCGATCATGTGATTGGGGTTGCTGAGATGGCTTGAACTTTGAGGACTAGTTGGAAGTATCACTCATTGAACACTGACATAACTTTGAATAGTTGCTGAACAGTTGGTTATTAACCAAAAATTACCTGTTATATTTTTCAAGGTACCCATATATCTTGTATAAGTCTGTTCACATTGTTAAATGCTACACTTACTAAAGAAATGAATGACTCTTGAAAGTAACATAGTGATATTTTTGATCTGGTTTTTATAGAAGACAAATCATAAAGATAGCAGGATGGCAAGTCCTGCTCTTTCCCCCACTGTTTTATTTGCTACCCCCCAGTAGGTTGATTGGAGTCTTTGATCTATAAGCTCTTTGTACCTGCCAATATCAACCTGCTAGCAGGTTTCTGTTTATAGACAATTCTCACTTAGCAACTATTTGTTCAATGACTGCTCAGTTATGATGGTACCAAAAATAATTTTACAGTCCGGTTATAACCATTTACTATCTTTGCATCATCTCTCAGTTACATAATCACTATTATGATCAGAACAAGTTGTCCTTTGCCTGAAGTATGATTTTTCCCCCTCCCCTCTTCCCTTGCAAAGCACAGACGTTAGAGAGGAAAATATTGCAAGACAATAAACTGTTTCATCTTCTATACATCAACAGCAATGCAATTATGCCAGCAACCCAGATTGGGAATTGTAAGTGTGTTATTCAAGCTAGCTTGCGTTATTGTCTTGAAATCTTTTCCTTGCAATCTCTTTGTTCTGTGGAGGGGGGAAGGTTTGAGAAAAAAAGTAAGCAATTTCTGTAGGCAATTTTTCCTTTGCCTACCCCGCCTTCAAGAGGAGAGATTGGAGAGAAAGAGATTTGAAGAGAGTAAGTTATTTGTGTAGTGTACCTGTGGTTCCCAGCCTGGCACTGTGGTCTGATTGCATTGCTTTTGATAGGAAGAAAATAGTTAGCAGGCACTGAATATTTCAAAGGACAGGGGAATGGTTAGGAGACAAACAAAAGCCTTAGATGTGCAACTGAGTAGTTTTGTTTCTTTCCAGCCAGAAACACAATAGTGAACGCATGATTTCTCACTTAGCAATCACTTTGCTTAGGAGTAAAATTGCTGGTCTCAATTAGTGTAATTATGGGAGGACTACATCTACTATTTTTAAAATAAGTTGGAAAGACCTTTTTGGGACTTTGCAAATGTTTCACAAAAGGTTTCTTGCAATCCTTGTCTTTGCTGGGAAAAAATTGGGAAGCAAAATGGCTAAGCAGGCACATGGATATGAGACAGCTGGGAGTATAGCAATTTACAATTCAGCTGTGCAAAATCTGGCAAAGGATTCCAAGAAAGATGCTTTACTCCCATGTGTTGAAAGATATGCGCAACCCTCATATTTGAACCTTTACACTTTTTACTCTTAATGTTTTTGCAATACTTTATAATTTTTACACCAAAGGTTAATTTCAAAAATAATTTAGATTATTTCTTTTTAAATTTTTATTTGGAGGAAGTGTTTAAAAAAGCAAGTACTAGTATTTCTGGAATATATAGTTTAATAACTGACTCAAAGGTGGTTCAAAACAATAAAGTGATATTTTGTTTGAAACTATGAGAGTTTATTAAATGAAGAGGTTAATTCTTTATCAACAGCTAAAGAAACAAAGTAATAATTTACTGAAAACTTTCTACTTCAAACTGAAACTTAAAAAATTTGTCAACTTTTGCTTCTATCAAACAATGATAAATTTCCAAGTTTTTATTTCAGCTGAACCTTTAATCAGTATCTTATTTTTATATTTGTCATGTCGTGCTACGTTAACCTTTTCCATGATTTTTCCTTTAACACATATTATTTTTCTTTGCTCTTTTAATCTCAAAATCATTTAAAACCTTTGACTTCTTAACTGCATCTCCTAAGAAAAGGTACCAGTTTATTGTACTGAAAATATATTAGTAATTTGATTGTGCTAATTCAGTGCCCAGATTTTGTTGCAAGGTCCTTCAGAAGTTATTTTGATAATGTATGTAGAAAAGTTGACAAAACTTCAATTAAAAAAATGATTCTCTTTTCTTGATTTACTGATTAAATTCTTCTGAATTTACACTTTAAGCCATCTCAAAGATAAGTAGCTGATAATCTAAAATCAACTAATGACAGCACTTACAGGACAAGCAATAATCAATTATGATTGTAATAGGTGAATTAAGAGAAGTTGCTATGGTTATTGTCTGCTTCTTTTCTATTTTTTTGAGAAAAACTGTCGGCAATAAAAATTTGAATCCGGTAATCATTTTGCTATTTTTTTAATCATTAAATTTAATTGAGTTGGGACAGTAGAATTGAAATACCAGCCTGGCTGTAATAGTTACTTCAGATGTTAACATACTTGTATAACTAGCTCCCTTGACAAACCAGCAACATTCATTTAGAATGGAGTGAGGCTAAACGCTTTTAGAGGTAAGAAGAATCTGTTATCAGGTCCTGCAAAATATTCTTTGTTTAGATTTTTTTTTCTTTGTCTTATTATTTAATATGCTACTGTGACTATGCAGCTCCTCTAAATAAGCAGAACTCTTCAAAAGATAACAGGTATAGGAACACAAAGCTTGTAAAAAGATTAAAATTATTTTAAGATTGGGTTTATTATCTTTCTTGTTTTGATTGAATATAATTTCCATTTAAGTGAAGCATTTATTACAGTAGACTTTGTTGCTTTAATTTAGTGACTTCAACTTTTTAAAATTATTTTTCTGGAATGCTTTTAGAATTGTTATTTGTATAGTTGTACTATTGTTGATCCAACTGTCAAATATTGTGCTTAACAAAGTACTTGTTTCTATAAAAGTTGCTCTCTATAATAATTCTTTTCTCTGTAGAATGCCCAACTTATTTGCTCTCAGGGCAGTGATTTTTCATTTAATGTTTTTATAGTTTTTTCCCCACTGTTATCGAAATAGTGTAATAATTATTCATGGCAGAATTCTGATTCATAAGAGATTTGTCATGTTTTTGTTTTATAAAAATGCACAAATTAGGTCTCCATGAGAAGCCATTGTGCTATGTGCTATTTATATCAGTGGTGATGAAGAAACTAGTCCACCATCACAAAGACAGGAATAACCAGTTTGTTAAGAATGAAAACTATCTTATAGCATTTCCCCAAATTGTAATGATTATAGTAATCATAATCAACAATGGCTTCAGTGGGAAAGCAGCAGAACACTCTCTTGTGGTAAAAGAGTATTTTCCTTACACTGTAGCTCTGAGTTTGTGTTACTGTATAATACTGTAAGCATAAGAGTACCAAAGCTACTTGACTGGTGTGGAGTCAAATGTATTTATATATTTTTATCTGATATAGGTTTTATATATTTTATTTTAGAGTAAGCTAAAAGATTTAATCTAGTTAAAATATGAGCCTTTCTATCCATTTACAGCTTGAAGAATGGGTGTTTTACTTGTCGGGTATCGGTCGGATACCTCAGCCAATGGAACCAGCTAGTGTCAGTTCTTGCCTTAGTCACCATTCTTCTATCATTGTAAACTTCAAGAATCCTACATTTGAAGAAGTAGTGGTAAATATAATTTTAACAGGTATGACAGTGCCCTCATATTTGTCTATGACTGGGAAATTGGATTATCCATCTAAAGAAAGCTTTAAAAAATTCTACTGTATACCATAGAATGATTTTTTTAAAAAAATAATTATATTACATAAAACTAATTTCTCCCAACAGTGAAGATTGGGTTTCATAGTAGGCCTTCTACCATAGTAACTAGGATGCAATGTAGGGTTTTATTCTGCCAACCACTACCCAACTCTAGAGAAAATAGGCATGATACTGATAGATAAACAGCAAGTTGGACAGTACCTTTCTGGATCAGTTTGTTTTCTTGAGTAGCAAGAACAATATAACTTTGCAATAATTCATGCTGCATGATCATTGAAATTGACAACTTCTGTCAGCCATTTTAGAATCTTTACTTAGAAAGTATATAAAACAGAATGAGAGATACAGGGTATAACTCTATTGTTTCTTTCCAACAAGAACCAATACAAGAAAGTTCTGAATCCATCCATGTACAACTGTATAGCAATAATTGTGCAGTGCCATAACATAGCAATAGAACATTAATATTCTTTATGCTTATCTATAGGAATCTTGATTTTCATGTTAGCAGGCCCTCACTGGGGAAACAGGAGCTAACTTTTATGAAAATCAAGACAGAATTTTGCTGAACTAAAAGATTAATGCCTCTGTGCAATTACTAATGTTCTAGGTGGTAACTTTCATATTTTGGATCAAGTTATATCTACTGTGAATGCTTTTTAAATTTTAAACCAAACTCTGCAGAAATATTTGATATTGCATTTAATTGGTATACTTTATTTCACAGACAATAGTTGTTTCACTTGCAGAGGGCATTGCAATTAAGAGCATTTGCATAACAAAATTGTAGACCATGCACCTCAGTCACTTCATTTCCATTGTGAAATTGCTATTTTTCTGCTCCTCTGCTTCTTAGGGATACTATTATTTAGATAAAATATTTAGCAGAATTATATGCTGGATGCAATCTAATCCAAATTCATATTGTTGCTTATAGATATAGTAACTGGTATATTTTAAACTGTGAAAACTATTAAGTATATTAAGAACAAATTATTTTCACATTTATTTACATATGATAATGAAAATATTGATTTTGAGAACAGCTATAACTTTCATTTTAACTATATTATAGATTAACACGCATAGGTAGATATTCTGACAAATGCAATTAATAAGTTCAGTAGTAGTTTGGTAACTGGTAGCATAATTCCTTCTTCAAGCTGCTCCCGAGGGGTTTAGTTATGATATGTTTATGTTCTGCACTAAGTATGTGAAGTTAATGTGAACTGTATCCTGAGACAAATCACTCTATGATTGTCTTCTGGCTCACTGGTGTCAATCTCACCCATTCAGTTTGTACATCCCAGGTGACTGTTGGATTCAATGGGGATCCAATTACCAAGGAATGTCTGGTTACTGTTTGTCCTTAGAGCAGTAAGATGTTGTTTCTAATTATATTTCTAGGCTCACTCGTCATATCACTATAGTTGCTTAAGAAATGTTTCTATTCTCATATTCATCCATTTGTTTTCAGTTTTACTGTATTGATGATGTAACTTTTGACCGGTTGCAGATTATAACAACCTTATCATTCAAATCATGCTATTCTTGTAGAACTGTGTTTTAGACTCTTTTTTTTGGTAAATTAATAGTAATATAGAATGGAGTAATTAAGCTCCATAACATTTGCACACTGCCAGCCAGGAGTACATAGATTACTACTGTGACATGAATTAAGTCTCTACCAGAACAATTGGACAAAATGACTCATGGCAGTTAGACTTTGTGCAGTAAACTGCTAGATGGATTGATAGCAAAAACTAACCCTACCATACAAAAAGGGGTGTTGAAAATGACAGCCAGAATTCTCCAACCCCTAGGAATAGCAATAGCCCATAAACCCCCACCCACACTCTATTGGGAATTATCCAGAACCAAAAACAAGACACAGAAGCATGAAAGAAACAATGTAATCTACAAAATCAACTGTAACCATTGCAACCAATTCTACATGGGACAAACATCACGTCAATTAAAAACCAGGATCCACGAACACCGGCTGGCAGTCAAACGCCACTATCCCAAATCCTTAATCTCTACCCATACTAAACAGCACCAGTTCGATTGGAGCAATACAAAAATCATTGGCCATGCTACCAACTGTCATGCTTGTGAGTTCATCGAAGCCTGGCACTCCACAAGCAATTCCCTCAACAGACACATTGATTTGCAACCAGCCTACAAACCCCTCAGGATCTAAATCAACCACACAGCCAATCAGAGACCAACCCATGCAAGCCCCCCCCCAGCAGTTCACCTCCCAATGATCCTGACCTGATGTAACCTCCCCATCACAAGACCCATCACAAGACTCACTGATGACTCACACCTGGTCCATCACAAAACCCACCACAGACTCCCCACTTGACACACCCACACCTGAAACCCTGATAAAAAGAACACTGACATTGACATCCCCTAAACTCTGCTGAAGGTATTACCTAGCTTGGTGATGAAACGTTCAGAAACCAACCCACAAGCTCGGAGAATGAATCTTCACCCTCATCCATTATACTTTTTATACATTTTCCATAAATGTCATCTTTACTAATTAGTTACCTATTTTTTCATATGCATTAACTATCTCAAGATAAATTTTTCAAAACAGGTAAGATGAGTTAACAAACAATTATATGAACAATTTGTAATTATTAAATCATGAAAAGTAAATCTGTTTAGGTTATCATAAATCTTTGTATTCATGAAAAAAGATAAAAAACGTGATTGGTTTGCTCATGACTAGCTTATCTGAATATTCATCATAGAGGTCTTCCTGCTATCCATTTACTCTTCTTATTGCAAATTGTATAGTTTTACTAAAGAAATATGTATTTCTTTCTCATTTCTTAGTGCTGGAATGGACAGTCTGTGGATCAGAAAACTTAGTTTGTTTTTTTAAATATTAATAAATCTGGTGCAGGATATTCATTTGACGCTAATTAATATAAATTGCCAATAACTTTCAATAACCCTTTAGAGAGTCATGATATTGCATATATTAAAAATTCTTATGTTAGATGTTTGCATACCAGTTATAAGTAGGGCCATTCCTTCTCTCTCTCTCTCTCTCTCTCTCTCTCTCCCTCCCTCCCTCCCCCCTCTCTCTTCTACATTATTTTCCATTTCTTTTTCCTCCTCACTGTTCTATCTCTCTGGCTTTGTCAAAAGTCATGCCCAAGAAACCACTGGGAGTCTGCAGAATATAGTACATCCAGAATTCTGAATTCATTACAAAGTTATATCATAGACAATATCATTCTAGGTCACATGTGTCCCTAGAGTTCCACATAGCTGACACTGATTTGTTTAATCACCATATTCTAAGTGGGCATCTCCTATTTGATCAGAAGCTGCTCTTTCCAATATGAAATGTAACTCTTCTGATTGTCACCCTGATTGTCATTTAATCCTTAAATCTATTTATTGTACTGGATTGAGCAAGTGTCAGTTGAAATAGCATGTACATCTGATAGATAGATAGATAGATAGATAGATAGATAGATAGATAGATAGATAGATAGATAGATAGATAGAATATTCAACTATGTAAGCATATATAATCAGATTATCCATTATTTCCCTTTTTTATTTTTAACTAGTCTTATTTTTCTCTCTAAAGTAGCAGTCTCATTGCTTTCTGCATTACAGCAGTAGCATTTATTCTTTCCTATTGTATTATTCTATTATATGATATTTAAGAAATCATTTTATCATCAAACTCTATTCAGAGACGTTGAATCAAGAGAACACTATAAATCTTCAGAAAATGTATAGCAAATAAAATAAAATAAAGAATTACTAAAAGTAATTCTCATTGTGTTTTCATTGCAGATAATTTCTTTTAAACTATGTAAGCATTATTTTAAATAGCAAACCTCTAACTCAACCCTTTTCCAAAATGGATATTTTTGGGGGGGAGGGTAGGAAAGAGCAGAAATTATTTATACATTATTTCAAAGCATTTTAATATGTCTCCATGAATATTCATAGGGTTTTTTGGCATGTAATACATAAATTAAAATGCAAAAAGATCTTTTAACAAATTCAATTTCTGTTCCAAGGACTACTTTGATCATTTCAATCTTTAGCGAATTCTCCTCCTTGAATGTGACAAGAGATTTTTTTTTTCTTCATTAGATCGAGATCATATCACAGACCATCCTCAAGCAACTTCATGCCACCATTCCACTAAAGACAGTATTTTCTGGCTTCCACTCAAGGAAACGCAAGGTAGCCCTTTTACAGTTTAAGTTTCTATAAGATACCTTTATGTAACTGTGAAGCTATATGGTTATGTAGCTCAAATTCACTTAATAGTTGTATGCAGGCATAACCATTTTACAGTAGAAAAAATTGATTGATGTAAGGAGAGTTTTAATATGAGGGATCACTTCCGCTTGGATTGAAAACAATCTGTTTGTATCAAAAGGATAAAATCTATAAGAAAAATGTGGAGTGTAAGCCAGTATACAAGGATATATAACTAAACTCTACCTTCTGTTTTCATTAGATATATTTCTAGTCATATAAAAGCATTACAAACACAGTGGGTAACTCAAAGTAGTATTTTAGGAAATTTATATTGAACAAGCTCTAGAGGGGCAAACTGAAAAAAGGACCTAGTTGTATTCCATACAAGAACTGTGCTTTAATGTTAAATAATTTGACAGCTGACTCATAACAACTCCTTTTGGTCTCTTATTATAATTGATCTTTCTTATAATGCTGAATTGCAACATATAAAGCTCTTCTAAGAATCACTGCATCATCTGCATAGAGACAGATAGAGATATACTTGTCTGCAACCTTAGGAGGATGAAAATTTATGCTACTTAAATGACCCACCACAACAGTGATATAAACATTAAACCAAAATGGAGAAAGTATGCAGTCTTGTTTGACTCCTAATGTGTTGAAACAGCATTTGATAAATCTCCCTGTGAGCTATAACTCATTTTCAGAGAGTGCTATTACAAAGTATCTGATTAAAAACAGTAAGTAGAGATCAACTGAGGCAGCCAATTTTGATTGCACTATAACAGGAGATGGAATCAAATGCTGCTTCCAGATCAATAGAAACTGCTTATAAAGAGATTATGGCATCAAAGGATTAATTTTCCACAGGATGCTGAAGATACCTGGCATACATAGTAGTATTAAACAAATGAAAGTCCTATACATTGCAGGATCATCCCTATTAACTTTTTTGAAAATAAAGAAAATGACTGTGATTACCATGCTTAAAAATGTGGCCCCTTTTATCAATATGTATCAGTTTCATTAATGCAGCATGGCTGAAATAGTATCCGCCATTGATGATACTTTTTAATTAAATTAGGAGGAATTAAATAATCACCAGAGCCTTTTTTGCTCTCAAATGAGCGATCAAGTTCAAAATTGCAGAGACTTCCATTGGTGGCCTTTTGATAGGGGCCTTCATATCACGGCAGACTAGTACATTGGATATTTCATTGCTGCTGTACAGATGTCTGAAATGTTCTTCCAGATCTCGAAGGGAATGAAATGATCCAACTGAGATAGTCCTTTACAGCAAAAGAAGGCCAAGTGTTTGATATGAACTATTTGAATCTAATCTTCTTTCCTGGAAGTCTTATACCCTAGCACAGTGGTTCTCAACCTTTTTAATGCCGCGACCCCAACCGGTTGTAAGTCGAGGACTAAACCAGTCATAAGTCGAGGACTAAACCGGTCGTAAGTCGAGGACTACCCAACCGGTCGTAAGTCGAGGACTTTCCCTGCCCGGGAGCGCCGCACATGTGTGGTTCCGCCCCCTGCGCCGGCCGAGGCATAGCTGGCAAGCGGCAGACACGGAGCAGGCCGACCACCAGCTGGCCCAGCCCAAGGGAGGTAAGGCACCCGCCGGAAAAGGGGGAAAAATGGCGGACAAAAAAAATGGCGGACAGCCTTGCTTGGCGACCCCCATGAAATGGTCGATCGACCCCAAATGGGGTCCCGACCCACAGGTTGAGAACCACTGCCCTAGCAGTTCTTTGTACACATTCCCTTCGACAAATTAATGCCAAAAGTCTGCATGACCCCTGTATCTCCCTTCTCTTTGGAGAAACATAATCCATAGAAAACTGCTGAATGGGCAAGAATTCTGATGGCAGAAGCTGTAAACTTTCCATCGTTTATTTATTATCATTCCTCATGCCATATTCTACAGGTATAACTTGTAGGAAACCCAGAGAAAATCAGATGTATTATAATAATGTTAGGAAGTCTTATTACTTTAATTATATTGTTTATCTTTTCCAAAACTCTAATAATATCAGAACTCTCATTCTAGACAAGTGGAGTTATTTAAATTGTTCACTGTAGCAAACGATTAATTCAATTAAAATGAATATATCTGCCCTGCTTCACCACTGTAATACTATTCTTTTTGAAAATATTTTTTAGAATGTTCTAAATCTTATTAAGGTAGAAATGATACATAATTCATTTCACATATACAAACCCATCCCTTGCCATTTGCATTTCCCCATTTTCTATTCTGAACAGTAATATTTGGATTAGATAAAACTCATGCTGTTAAACTTGTCTGAGTTAATTTAGAAGGAATATTCTTTCACCACTTCAATTTACATTTAATTATTAATTCATTTTAAAGTATTATTTCTATTTCTTATGACTGCAATAAATGGAGCATAGGATTCCGTGCTCAAAAACATTAAAATATGATACGTGTTTAATATTCATTGTTTATTTTGCATATTAGATTTATATCCTGCCTTTGCTTTAGGTTGGGAAGATCATATTCATAGCACTTATCTTTTTTAATTTTTTCTCATAACATCAAATGTGAAATAGGTCAAACTTGAGAAAGAAGGCCTACATCAGACGTGTCAAACACAAGGCCCGGGGGCCAGATGAGGCCCGCGAAGTGCTTTCATGTGGCCCGAGAAGCCATCCTGGAAACAGTGAGGGAACGGCCCCTGCTGCCTTGGCCCTGGCCCAGGCCAGCCGGGAGCCAATGTATAATTTTGTGGTGGCCATCTTGGCACTTGCCATGGTGGACCATGCCTTGGCACTTGCCCCGGTGGACCATGCCTTGGCACTTGCCCCAGTCCCACCCCCTTCTGCCAGAGACCCTCAGATCTGTCCCACTCCTGCCCAGGCCTCCTCAGGCACACTTGACGTGAACGATGTAGAACTGGCCACGCCCACCCAGTAGGCCATACCCACTCCATCCATGCCCACCCAGTAGGTTGCACCCACTCTGGCCACACCCACCTGGCCCCCCAAGGGCAACCGCAATGCTGATGCGGCCCTCAGTGAAATTGAGTTTGACACCCCTGGCCTACATCAAGGAAAGGACATCTGTTGTGATCCCCTATATAAGCTTGTACAGTATAAGAATGCTTCTCCTAACTTGGCATTCTGTCCCCCTCCCCACTTCAGATTTGTTGGAGTATAAAGTCTGTCATGCACAAACAGTTCATACAGGTGGGCTTAATACCTTAAGAGTTGCAGTCCAACTTACTTGAGGTCAGTAGATTGGAAAAGGCTGCCATAACAAATCACATAAAGGTATATGCAATTAAATAATATCTTTTATTGATCAAAAGATGGAAACAAATTTAATGTTTTTATTATGCTGAAAATATTTAAAATTCATTCGTTTTCACATGATTGTGATGACATTTGGAATAAGAATACACTGAAAAGGTCAGGACTGTGGGATATAATCAATTGGAGACTGCAGGAAATTTTCTTGCAATCATGGGAAATGTAATGGGTACAGTAAATAAGGACATTCTAATGAGTGTAAAATGCTAATATTCTTTGGAACTTGAGTATAATTGGTACTCTAACAGAATAACAGTTGGATTTTACCCTGTTTGCTTTCTGGGTTACCTTATTTTACTACCACATTTTTTGATAGTTGTATAGTTCTAGGTTGGTGGTTTTTTTTGCAAAACAACCCAAAATTATTTGAAGTCAGGCAATGCAAAAAAAGTTATGTATTGTTTATATTTATTTATTTTAACCCTATGAAAACCAAAGGGAGTGTTCTCCAACATTTCATTGCTGTTAGAATGTCTCTAATGTCATCTTTGGTATCTAAAGCACCATGATGAACCATCATTTAACTACTTGGGCTAATACTCCTATCTCAATTGATTCAGTAACTCTTTCAAGTACATTCCAGTAATAATTTTGATCTCATCCATCCACCTCATATGGTATTTCTTTTCCCTCTTTTACTTTCTTCACCTTTGCCAAGCATTTTTTTTAGGCCATCATCCAGTCTGATCACATACCAAAAGTATGTGAGTTTTTCCTTGCTGACCAATGTCTCAAAAGATTACTAAGACTGATTGATCAATTCTTCTTACTATCCACAGTAGTCCTGATTGATTCTTATAATTCACAATAAAAACCATGTGCAATCTCATTAGTTGAAGCATGTAAATGCTTTAACTATTTTCTTAACTATTTTTAGCTTGTTTGACATATAAATAGCTTTATCTTTCATCAGAATAAATCTCTTTACTATTCACTTCTTCACTGTCAGCTGTAGAGTGAATAGTGATTGGCTTTACCTTTGTCTTCTTACTAGATCACAATAGACCAGATTTTCATTTTGTTTTTACTTTCATAATGAGCACTTCTCTACAAAATGCTATTACCTTCTTATCTCAGGTTTAAGTATTTAATCTCCTTTTTGATTTTAGAAAATTCCCAAAGTATTGGATATACTATCAAATAAAATGAAGACAGTCATCAACAAGTGGAGAAAATATGGCACAATAGTGACATTACCAAAAACTGAATGTCCCTCCAAAATTGATGAAAAAGCAGAAAAAAAACTAGTCCGAATAGTTACCAAGAGACCTACAGCAACTGCAGGAATGTCTGGCAATCACTGTTTGTGTACTACCACACAATCTCCCATGTTCTTCATTTGTCTGGGCTGTAGGGTAGCATGGCAAGATAGAATCCAAGCCCAGCTACATTTCGCAAAAACCTACATCAGGTCTGTCAAAAGCATGTGGGAGAATATGTTATGGTCTGATAACTCCAAAGTTGAACTTTTTGGCCATAATTACAGAAAGTATGTTTGATGCAAAAACAACACTGCACCTTACCAAAAAATACACCATGCCCACGGTGAAGCATGGTGGCAGCATTATGCTTTGGGGCAGGTCTCTGCTAAAATGCTAAGGTTGAAGAGGAATTTTATCTTTCAACGGGACAATGACTCAAAGCTTAGCTCCAAATCAATAAAAGAATAGCTTCGCCAGAAAAAGATCAAAGTTTTGGATTGGACCAGCCAGAGTCTGGACTTGGATCCAATTGAAAATCTGTGGGGTGACCTGAAGATGGCTGTGCACCGGAGATATCCTTGCTATCTGACAGTGCTTTTGCAAAGAAGAGTGGGCAAAGATTCCCAAGATTCCCAGAGCAAAATGTGCCATGCTGTAGGTTCCTACACCAAAAGACTGAAGGCTATCATAAAATCAAATGATGCTTCAACAAAATATTAGTTTTAGGGTGTTCACACTTATGCAATTATGTTATTGTAAGTTTTTTATTGTTATTTTCGCCCTGAAAGATTTCAGTTTGTTTTTCAGTTGAATTGTACAGCTTATATGTTATAATAAATATGGAAAAAATTCTGACCTGAGTTACCTTAGTCTGATTTTTTTTTTACGTCTCAAAAATCTGGCATTTAACAGGAGTTTGTAGACTTTCTATTTCACATTATGGCATATATCCTATTTGAAACTATTGCCTATCATATCCTAGTATCTAGTGCATGGGTGTCAAACTCGCTGCATCACGTGACATGTCTTGACGTATTGCAACTTTTTTTGCATTGCCTCCGCATGATGCAACCGGCCCGTGGGCTGGCAGTTTGACACCCCTGATCTAGTGGAATAGAATCTGAACATATTTTCTCTGCTAATGTTTTTGTCTTTCTATAATCTGCTTGTAAAGGATTTTAGGATAGTTTTCTGTCTTCCGCTTTTGTCTTTGCTAGATTTCTTCTATGATCACTCTTAAGTATTTTAGTTTAAGTCTAATTTTTTTGGGTGGTTGTCTTATATTTTAAAATAAACTGTCATGATTGCATGCTCTGTTTGTTACTTAGATCTTTTACTCTTTACATATTTCATTTATGAACACATAAATGAAATATACTGAACTATAATATAGCTTGCTGTTATATTCTGAGTCCATCTTTTCCATGTCAAATCTGGTATTAGTAATGTATGTTTTTTTCAGAAAACTCTTTATTATATATCTCGTGTATGATTGTATTTATCCAATCCAAATCAATCTGTTATTCCAGATTCCTCCATTTCTTCTATTTTTGCACTCTGATCACATTATAGTAGTTTTACATTCTTTCTTGATGTTGCATTTAGCATTTCTTGCAAATTGTTGAGGAAGTAATTTCTGTACCTTGTATACTACCTACCTACCTATTAGATATTAATTCTAAAACATATGACCTTGTCATTTATTAAGTTTTAGTCAAACATATATTTAGCACACTTTTAAAAACTAATAATAGTTGAACTCAGATCTTTTTTTTTTGTTCCCATACCAAGGGTATTATATAATATGAGTTCATCCAAATTTACTTATTCCTAAAACACACTATTTAATGAGCTTTCCCCCTCTGTGTCAAGACATGTTTTTCTGTATTGGAGTTCCTTTAAAAACAACTTTTTCCCATACTGACCGAAGCAAGGACCAGCATTTTGTGCTTTTGGTCTAGCCAACTCATAACCTGTAACATATCTATTCATGAAAATTCAACATTTATGCTTACATCATTAGAGGAGTGTTTTCTGAAGTGTAGATCTCATCATCTAGCATCCAAACTTAAACAAATGTTTTAGCCTTGTCCTGTTGGCAACAGTATTCAAATGATTTATCAGTACCTTTTAATGTTTGATTATAGAGTTATTTCTCCTAGAGTCATTTGGCTTTCACAAAAGTTCTTGTTCCCCTTATCGCTATTTGTGGAATATTCTTAGATTCCCTGTCTCCATCCAGCTTTAAGAGTGACCCTTGGGTTAGCTTATTTTTCTGCCTGAATTGGTCTCAAGGTCTTGGAGCCAGGGATCATTTCACCAAGTCAGGGTGGTAAATCCTTTGGAAGACTAAAGGTTGTCCATTAGAAATAGAGATAGCAATATATTTTGTCTAAATTAACCTAAAAGAGTGAGGAATAATCTCATTAAATTAAAGAAGCAAAAGTGTAGATTAAATAAACGCCACTATTTAGATATCAAACACTTGTGGTAAACTGGTTACCTGTTTCTGAGAAATAATGGTTTCAATGTTGTTTGTATATGACAATGGATTTTTTTTAGTGGAAAGGGGTTCTTTATAAATAATTGTGTTTCCTTTTATACTGCATATTTTTAAAATATATAATTAAGAGTAAATTAGTAGACAAACCAATTATTTATACTATTTAATTTTCTCCTTTTTAGGAATATTTTTACCTCAAAAAAGCAAGCTTGATATTCCTGTATTATTTGCCCCTCTTTCTATGAAACTCTATGAAACTTTTCTTGTTATTGAAGTTAAAAAGATACATGAAGAAAACTGGACTTATGATGACACATTTGAATTAAGGGAAGCAGTAAACAGGTAAGTATTTTAATCATTAGATATCCATAACAAATATTGATTTAAATTTGAAATCATTATGTGAATTTAGTTGATAAATTTATTTAATAATTTATATAATTAAATAATTATTTAATACTTAATATAGAATATTTCACACTTGTTAAATTTGAACAAGTCTAGGACATCTTAAGAATTTCATACTATAAAACTTTAGATAATTCTGTACTGCCTGAAATTATTAGACCAGTGGTTCTCAACCTTTTTAATGCCGCGACCCCAACTGGTCGTAAGTCGAGGACTAAACCGGTCGTAAGTCGAGGACTAAACCGGTCATAAGTCGAGGACTAAACCGGTCGTAAGTCGAGGACTACCCAACCGGTCGTAAGTCGAGGACTTTCCCTGCCCGGGAGCACCATGCATGCGTGGTTCCGCCCCCTGCGCCAGCCGAGGCGTAGCTGGCAAGTGGCAGAGACGGAGCAGGCCGACCACCAGCTGGCCCAGCCCAAGGGAGGTAAGGCACCCGCCAGAAAAGGGGAAAAAAATGGCGGACAAAAAAAATGGTGGACAGCCTTGCTTGGCGACCCCCGTGAAATGGTCGATCGACCCCAAATGCGGTCCCGACCCACAGGTTGAGAACCACTGTATTAGACTGTATAAGTATGACAAAGCCATCTTTGGTTACAACTCTTGGACAACTCTTTCATAAGATTTGTTAGCTACCCAAGAGGGTATGGATACTTTTCAGCCACTAAACTCAATGGAATGATGATTATATAAGATGAGCCAAATTGCCATCTTTGCTGATTAAAGCAAAGCAAATTAAATCTAATGATTAACTGAGGGAGTCAATATCTCTGTTATAAATAATGTAATATTGGTAGCTGTAAAAGAGGCTATAATGAGGAATATCATCAATGCATGTGTTGTTATTTCCTTTCTGTTTTCATGTTACATTAAGTTTTTGTACCAAAGCCACTTTAATTGCTTGTGGATGGCATATATTATGAAATGGCATCAGCCTTAGCACATGGCATAATTTTCTAAGAAGTACATTTTTAAACTAGATTTTGTATCAGATATATTATTGATACAAGAAATTTCAAACAAGTTTTAAATGGGTAGATAAGGTCATTAAGTAATGATTGTACTAGTTTTTTTAAAGTGATAATGTTAATATTTAAGTTGCTTATATTTCTCAGCCAATCTGTAATAATAGAGGATGAAAAACTTAAAGGACTCCGTTGGATCTACCCAATTTATGGAATTTCTGAAGCTCCACCCAGTGAATTAGCTCCAGGTATCTATGAGCAATTACATTAAAATTGGGTAGAGTAAAATGAACATTTTCCAGCTATGATCCAAGCTAAAATAAATGGAATAGTAGATAAAGTGAATTTAGCACAAACATTCAAATGACCAAGTAAATTACTATTGCTATTATAATCAATTAGTTTCTTCTTCTTGTGGTATAGTAAAGAAATGCATATCCCATTTGGTATGTAATAGGGCTTGACAAACTGCTATTTCCTGAAAAACTGGAAGATAGCTCAGGATTGACAAAGTAATTCCATACAGATTGAATTCTCTCCAACTATCATCACATCTACTACTTTTTCATCAGTTTGTTCTACACTAGTTTATGGAGAAAGGAAGAGAATAGCAGAACACACTTTCCCCTCTGTTTGGCATTTACTGTTTCAAAAAAAGAAAAAATAGCAGGTTAGAGAAGAGAAACTACTTCTCTTTCTCCCATTTAAAGTAGGTGAAATAACAATATGCAAGGATAGAGGCTTATGGAAGCTAGCAAGTAGATAGAGGAGGTTATTTATTCTCTATTTTGAATTTAAATACCATCTGAAGAATAATTTAGGCATAATATGAGAATCTGAGAATTTATAATTTGCCAAGCCACAATTATGCATTCAGAATCTCCCATGCATAACAGTGACTGGAGATTTTAATATACTAGATTTAATGTAATCAGAGACTTGAAGCATAGCCAACACTATCTTGGATCATGGCTGCCATCTTATAACCTTAGAGTGTCAACTGAATTCTATCTTAGTATGAAAAAGCTGAACTAAGAATACTGAAGGTATTATTTGATATGCTGTAGAGCGGTCATTAATTGCTTATTAAGACTATTGGTATTACCTCCCATTTTAATTTTAAGATTCAAATTGGAGGGGGAGCTCACTTTTTAAAAAAAATCAATTTGTATGACAATTTTATGATTGACTTTATGCTAATTAAGCAGCTAAAACTTTTTTTGCTATTGAATACAGCTATTACAGAAATTTGTAAGGCAAAAAGGAGAATTCAAAATTCTGGCAGCCTATGATAATTAGATCACGCAAGGGCAGAAGCAAAAGGTGAAATTTCACATAAAAGTTCTATTGATAGGTCTCATATAAGATTTATGATAGTGTTTTGATCAGAAGATCTGCAATATGATGCTTTTCTGCAATAGAACCATCTAGATATGCATGCTAACTTCATAGCAAGGCTAAAAGCTGTCTTTGATATCTCTGCCAAATGGGTAATAAGATGTGACATTTACAGGTTGAATACACAGTATGTGACTAACTTTCAGTTGTTGGATCAGGATGTGCTTATTCGTGGTTGACCAATTTAAAGAGGACCTATATGATGAAATATAGGATAAGCTCATTTAATTAATGAATTCAGAGGAAACATTAATACTCTCTTGTTTGAATATAGATGCAAATCTTAAAGAACTGGCTCTTCAGGATATGAGAGTCCCAATCTCAGAAGGCTCAAAAATAAAAGCCACCCCAAAATTAATTGGAAGTAACCACAGGAATATGGAAATAAACAGGCTGATTTTCTATCATGCAAACCTAACCCCTTTGTTCCTTATGGTCCTTTCCTACCTCTGTCTGGTGACCTAAATATTTTACTCTCCCAGGTTCAATTTGTGAAACCACTGCAGCAGAAGAAAAACTTTTCTGGCTAAGCAATTTTGCACATAGAAGCTGAGCTGATATATTAAATAGAAGATATATTTGACATATTGAGAGAATAATATTTTTAGCCTTTCCTCCATTTCTGAGATAGTCCATCTGGTTATTCATTGTGTTTTTTGACATCGAGGCATCCCTAATCATCTGAACTTTAATAGAGGTTGTCAATTCATGACCCATTTCTAATTTTTTTAAAAAAGACTCTTAAATGTTAAATATCATTTTTCCTCTCACCATTAATTGCAATCTGATAGTAAAACTTAGATGAATGCCTCATTGAAACAATGTTCTCATTGCTGGTTTAACCACAGATAGTGTATTCATTCAGTGACTGTTCAAAATTATCACAGCACTAAACAAATGGTACTTACAATCAGACCTCGGAGTTCGGGCTATTACAACATTCTCATAGTCACTTGGTATACAGCTCATGATTATGACATTGCAGTGAGCTGCAGTCACATAATAGCAATTTCCAATGTTCCCTGCTGATTTCCCACATGCAGTTAATGGGGAAACCAGCAAGAAGTCATAAGTCATGATCATGTGAGTTTCATCCTTAAAGACTCACATGGTCCTTGCTTAATAATGGCAACTGGAATTGCCATCTCTAAACAATGTGCTCATATGATGTTGTCTTTTACAATTACATCACTTAGTAATGGAATTTCTGGTCCTAATTGTTGTCATAACATGAGGACTACCTGTACCAGCATGACAACCATCCTGATCATTTGCTTATACTGTAGTTAAGTTCACCTATAATAATGATTTCATTCTTCTGCTTGATTGTCACTATTTCATGCCTAGTTGAGTTATCACTGCCTGTTCCTAACACTTCTACATTCTCCCCCCATTCTGGAGGCTCCTGCTTTCTCTAGGAATTCCAAGCAAGGGAACAAACTCCCAGAGAACAACTGAATCTTGCCAAATCTTCCCACAAACATTGCTGGCTGCCATTGCTAGGAAGTTCCCTTCACCATTCCTCTGGAAAACTATCTGGCATTCTACTGTAGTTCTTCCTCCCTACAACTTTCTCTAGAAAGCCGGATGTCAAGTTTATTGAACCATTCCTTGTAATCCCATATGCCAGTGGTCACTTTGTGGCCTGCACTATGTAGATGAAAATGGGAATAGAGGGAGGATGTGAGTGCTAGATTTATTTCTTTGCTTACTTGTTTCTTTATTTGACCAATCTATCACTTTATCTCAAATGCATGACTCTCAGCAGACTAAATGAGTAAAAACAAGATACAAGTATCATAACAAAACAATAAATAACATATACAGTGGCCAAAACAAAACCCAACCAACACAATCAGTGTAACTAGGACACAGACTCGGTCACATACCCAGGACTTCAGACTTGGGAATAAAACAGGGTCTCAATTTCTGGTGGAGAGATATTCCAGAGGGCAAGATCAGAAGCCTAGGGCCTGACCAAGCTAGTCCACTGCAGTAACAATATAGAGGCATTAATTACTATTCTTAGTCAGAAACAGATGGGTCTCAGTCAACTATATCATTGTTGGTGTGGGAAAGGAACAAGAACTTTCTACATAAGTACACATACAGAGAAAGAAACAGTATAATTCTAAAAACTAAAGTATTGTTTATTTTTAAAGTGCTAAGAAAATAATTTGGATTTATTTCTAGTGTACAGTGACTTTATTTTCACAGACTACTATATTAACATACATTTATATACAAAACATATTAGTCTATTCACTGTCTCATTTCATTATTCAAATAAGTGTTAATTTTACTATTTACGAGAGGAGGAGGGAAAGAAGAATAACTCTTTTCATGAGCCTCTTGTCATATCTTCCTTCACTGAATTTTGGTCCATTTTTTCTAAATTCAATTTTTCACCAGCCCAATTGCTTCTCTGAACTCCCTGTCTTGTTCTGCTTGTTCCTCCTGGGTCCTCAATTACAGGTTCTTCCTAAAGGGATCCTCTCTCCAACTTCATACCTGCTTTATTCCAATGACTCTAGTCCTTGTGCCTTAGCACACATAGTATATCCAATACACAGAACAACAATTTCTTTGTAGATGTTTTCATCAAAAGACATATGGAAAATAAATGAATAAATAAAAATCCTCCACTTGGAACCAGATAGTAAGTCAGTCTCAATCATGGTAGCTCACCGTATCATCAATATATAGACAGGAGAAAAAGACAAGATTACATCTTAGATCTGTATTGGATTTTCACAAAGGTGATTTTCTTCATACTACCAGCTTTTCCAATATCTCTACTAAAGCCATCTTTTCAAGAGCTAATGTTTTTGAATCTCTATCTATAAGCCTTCTAATTGCAGTATCAGTCTGGGGGAAAGCCTAAGATAGTCTGAGATATTCACCCAATATATTTGTTCAATGAATATTCTGTATATTGAAGGAAGTTTGGACTAATAAAGCATAAATCAGTACTATGAATCATAATGATCAACCTCAGGATAAGGGGCGAATTCTACTCTTCAAAGCAATATCTCTATTCATCTAGGGTCTGGATAGTATTATTTGGTTTTCTTGTTCTTCATTTTTTTTCTTGTTCCCTCTATTGTTCTGGCATAAAATGTGTTAAGTTGTACCTCTTTTAAATGCATCTGATTCATAGTATCTTAAGGACTGGGATTTGCAGAAGGAGCTGTTTTGAGTGTATGCAAAGCGGAAGCCTTTTCAACTTCTATATTTACTCTTACCTGGATTACTATAGTGTTTGAAAGGCTATATGCAGTTGATTACATTGGGATCAGGCCTTTCTTCTATATCTTCTTGCTTTTTAATTAAATAGGTGTTTCACAGCTTATTGGAGCTCTAAATCCTTACTGGATAATAGGAGATTCAGATGCCCCCTGAACTATACCTGAGAGTCACTTGCTTGTATTAAAATCTGCAGTAAATAGCCCAATGTGTATGAACATGTATCTTGTATAGACAATATCTCTACATACTAATAGGCAGGAACTGAAAAGCAGTTTGTAGCTTCAGACTAAGATGAAAGAAGGCCAAGATTCATGAATGAATTAAAAGTTATTTTAGTATATATTTCAGAGATATGTCAATATTGTTATAAAGGTCCTATATCAGTGATGGCGAACCTTTTAGAGACCGAGTGCCCAAACCGCAACCCAAAACCCACTTATTTATCGCAAAGTGCCAGAGCCACATTAGCATTGTGGTGCCCTCGGGGGGGGCAGCGGGGGATGGCTCACTGGGTGGCTGTGGCTGTGGTAGTCATGGCAGATTGGGTGGGCATGGCTGGGATGGGCGTGCCCACCTCAATGTTGCTCGTGGGGGGTGCCTGTGGGGGCTGGGCAGGATTGGGGGAGATCCAGGGGGTCTCTGGTGGGTGGGGCGGTGGGCAGGAGGCTTTTCCTGCAGGGTGAGGCAGAGGATAGGGCGGGGGTGCCATTGCTGCAGGGCAAGGCAAGGCGAGGCAGGGGCGGCTGCTGCCTGACACCATTGGCCCCCGCACACAGAGGCCAGCGAGCGCATGGGGGCGTGCTCTACCACCTCTACTCAAGCTGTGCGAGATGCTGGCAGCAGCGGGCATGCCCACAGAGAGGGCTCTGAGTGCCACCTCTGGCATACGTGCCATAGGTTCGCCATCACTGTCCTATATTGTGATAGTACAGTGACACTCAAGTATGAGAGACATATCCTTCAAATTAAGATGCCAACTGTTTTTGTAACGGGTCTACTACATATTACAATGGCTTTTCATGTATAATATACTCTTGGATAAAGTTATGAAAACTAAAAAATATGTCACACATTTTTTCCTAGCTGTTGTATGCTGCCGTGCCCGCAGTAGATTGGAGGAAAACATAGAAGTGCTATTAACTGGTGTGGTTCCTGGGACAACTGCTTCACAAATACTCCAAGATACTGCAATGTTAACTCTTTCTCAGAGCAAATCATCCCCAATTCATGATGAAGTTCAAGTTACTGACGGTAAGGAAAATATTTTAAAAAATTACTGGGTAAGGCAATAAGTACAGATAATTTTATAGCTGTCTTAAAACTATACAGTATATATTTAAGAACATGTTTTGAATGTTGATGGGGTTGCAACAGAATTCAAAGATTCCACATAAAAGTTGATTCATTCCATTCATTCCTTTTTTCTAATATTAATCCAGGCTTCTTGATTCTTGCTACTTGGATTAACTCCATTTTAATTGCAAGAAGGGAAATCTGATATTAATTCCAACAGTCTTTACTCCCTGTACAACACAACTTTGTTTTGAATGCTTAGACTTGGATTGTGGCAACTGATTCTCTTGCTTTGTTGTTGACTACAGTTGTTACAGATCACCACTACCTTACTCAAAGCTAAACTTGCCATGGGCTAGAAACAACCAGATGATGAGCCTAATACCACTGGCTACCATAGATAATTTTAGGAATCATTGTGCTTTATAGGGATTAGCAAATTTAGCTTCTATACCATTTCTATGACTATGAAATTAGCAAATGCCCCAGAATTTACAAGAACAGAAAGTTCCACCTTTTGTCTGGAATCCAAATTAACAATAACAAGAGTAAAGTAAGTATGCTTACCTTTTGTTAGTTGAGGCAAATTTTATCCCAGTTGCTGCATTAGTTATATCATGGCACCTTGTAAGTTGGTCATGTGTATATCTATTTGTTGTTGGGGTTGCAACTATCTGGCTACCAGATATTAGTGATTAGTGCTATTATTAGAGCTATCATGTCACCCCTAGTCCTTCTCTTCATTAAACTAGACATACCCAATTCCAGCAACCTTTCTTTATATGTTTTAGCCTCCAGTCCCCTAATCATCTTTGTTGCTCTTCTCTGTACTCTTTCTAGAGTTTCAACATCTGTTTTACATCGTGGTGACCAAAACTGGATGCAGTATTCCAAGTGTGGCCTTACCAAGGCGTTATAAAGTGGTATTAACACTTCATGTGATCTTGATTCTATCCCTCCATTAATGCAGCCTAGCACTGTGTTGGCTTGTTTGGCAGCTGCAGCACACTGTTGGCTCATATTTAAGTGATTGTCCACTAGGACTCCGAGATCCCTCTCACAGTTAATACTATTGAGCAAGTTACCATCTATACTGTACCTATGCATTTGGTTTTTCTTGCCTAAATGTAGAACCTTACTTTTTTCACCATTGAATTTCACTTTGTTAGATAGTGCCCAATGTTCAAGTCTGTCAAGATCCTTCTGTATCTTAAGCCTATCTTCTGGAGTGTTGGCTATTCCTGCCAGCTTGGTGTCATCTGCAAATTTGATGAGTTCCCCATCTATCCCCTCATCCAAATCATTGATGAAGACGTTGAAGAGCACTGGGCCTAGAACAGAGCCCTGGGGCACCCCACTACATACTTCCCTCCATGTACATGCAGTTCCATTGAGGATCACACACTGATTATGGCTGGTCAGCCAGCTATGAATACATCTGGTGGTGATGCTATCTAACCCACACTTTTCTATCTTATCAAGTAGTAGGTTGTGGTCTACTTTATCAAATACCTTACTGAAGTCCAAGTAAATTATATCTACAGCATTCCTTTGGTCCACTGATTTTGTCACCTGGGTCAAAGAATGCAATAAGATTTGTCTGGCATGGTCTGTTTTGAAAACCCATGTTGGCTTTTGGTAATGACTTTGTTTACCTCTAGGTGTTTGCTGATTTGTTACTTGATTATCTTTTCCAGAATCTTCCTAGGTATTGAGGTCAGGCTGATAGTTTCCTGGATCCATTTTTTTTTCTTTTTTGAAGATGGAAACTACATCAGCTCTTTTCCAGTCCTCTGATAGTTCCCCAATGCTCCAGAATCTTTGAAAGATATATTTCAGTGGTTCTGAAATCACATCTGCCAGTTCCTTGAGAACCTTGGGGTGTAATCCATCTGGTCCTGGTGATTTGAACTCGTCTAGGGTGGACAGGTGCTCACTTACCATTTTCTTGCCTATCTTAACTTGTGTTTCTAATCTGTTTTTTACGGTACTCTTTTTGATAGGTTGGACTCTTTTTTCCCTTTGTGTAAAGAAAGATGCAAAAAACAAGTTAAGTAGTTCTGCTTTCTCCCTGTTGCTTGTCACCTTCTTGCCACTTTCTCCCACTAATGGACCAATCATATCCTTAACTTTTTTCTTGTTTTTTTACATGTTGAAAGAAGCTTTTTTGTTATTTTTGACTTTTATTGCAAGCTTTATTCATTTTGAGCCTTAGGTTTCCTCACTTCATCTTTGCAGGCTTGGGCTATTTGCTGATATTGTGCCTTAGTTATGTGTCCCTCTTTCTACTTTTTATACTTGTCCTATTTGTCTTTCAATTTATCAGAGAGTTCTTTATGCAGCCATGCTGGTTTCTTTTGAGAGCTGTTATTTTTCTTCTTTGTTGGTATTGTGCTAGCCTGGGCTTTTATAATCTTACTTTTCAAAATTTCTCAAGCTTCTTGAGTTGTTTTTCCCTTGAGGATTCTCATCCATGGAATCCTTCCCAAGCTCTCTCTAAGTTTATTGAAATTAACTCTCTTAAAGTCCAGGACTCTAGTTTGACTATGTTCTATTGCTTGTGCTTGCATAATCTTTATTTCTTAATGTTTAAATTTTATGTTAATGTTTAAATTTTTTCAATTTTTTCCCCAATTTTTTTTCTGAATTTTCTGAATTACTTTTAGTACTCCATCCTGTATTATGCCAACCAGACTACTGAAGACTATAAGTCTCCTTTGGTGCTGCTTATTTTTTTTATCCAGAGATTTGTGTGTATAAATATAAATACAGGCTTACAAATTTCAATCAGTCATTCTCACCGATATACATCGAGCTTAAAATCTGGTTAGTTTCCACATTTGTAGAATTACCCACATAGTAGGGTTGGTTCCCAAGAACAAGCATTCTCATAAATTTTATAACTTCCAACAAGGTTTACAAATCCATGAAAGCTTGTCCTGACCCATCTTGGTGGTTTCTTTTTTTGCACTCCTCCTGATAATGTTTCACTAGAATGCATTGCTTCTTTCATTTCACAAAAGAAAAACTTTTTATTGAACCATCTTTATATCTTCATACTCTCTATTCTGATACTTTTCTGCATGGTCCAGGAGCTGAAATCTTCCCAAGCTTTTTGGTCTGCTTTAACATCCAACATCTTTCATATACATCCATTCATGCTAATATACTGCATAAAGCTACATTATTTTTCTATCAATGCATTATATAATAAGTGGTTTGATACTAGTGCTAATCCACTGACATTAATATACTGATATATTATTCATTATTTAAAATGGTTATTCATGATTAATATATTCAATAATGCATTTGGCAGAGACATAATATAGTTTATAAAATAGAGATTTCAACAAAAATAAACAGTGAATGACAGGAGATGGGGAGTATATATGGGAGAAACAAAACTAACTATTTTTTTAAAAAAATGCATGGAAATGGAATATATACCACAATTATAAGTTATAGTTCAGACCTTGACATCTGAACACCATGATTTTCAATAACCATTGTGTTTGCACAATACAATGATTTGATTGCTGAAGGAAACATCTGCTTAGCAATATAATTTTTGTCTGTGTGGTAGGTTTCAAATGATGTCATTCTTCCTCTCTCCTATTAAGTTTATTTTTATGTTAGAATCTCTGCATGATGACATTTTATACGGTGGAATAATTATAAGTCTTCAGTGGTATCCTACTGTGAATGCACTACTTTAGTACACAATTAGTAACCAATCAATTTGACAAAGGTTGAAAATGGTATTCATACCTTAATGATAGAGTGTGCATATCTGCTAGAGGATATCATGATTTTATATATGACATAAATGAATAAGTTCTAATATTTTAACCCAAGAGCTCTCATACAGAATTCTAGAGTTAAAAATCCGACTCTTGGGTAAGTCCATGTTGTACCAAAATAATCACGCTCACCAAGAGAAGTTTAAAATGTTTAAAAGCAGTTAAAAGTTTAAAAGCAATTAAAACACTGTTTAAAAGTAAAGGCAACCAAGCTTTCATCGGGCTCTCCCGACATCATCAGGGTTGACAAGGCGGTTTTTAGGGAGGGTTTATATGCTGCTTCCAAATGTCTGCATCTGGCTACGGGACCGCGTGATCGGGCCCCGGTACGTGCGCTCCTGCGCTGTGAGTATCCTTGTTTTACCCGCACGTAACCCTTTTACCTTCTTTTCCCGTTTGTCATTACACGGATCTTGAGTATCTCTATCACGAGCTGGCCGGGGTTCCTTCTTACATCTCCCCTCCACTTCATCTTCCACACCCTTTCTCTCAACCTCATCATTTTTACAGGGTCTAATCCAGCCGCAGTCATTCTTTCCCCCCCCTTTCTCCTATCTTCGTATCTTTCTCATTGAGAAAGTTAGTTGCGGGGGGGGGCATTCCCCGCAGGCCCCAGGAGCCAGATGAGAGATCGTATGGAGGTGTGGATGATGGTGTAAAAGGGGTGGTAGAATACGGAACTGCTTATGGGGGAGAATATGGAGCTGATGGGGAGGTAGATAAGGAGTTGTTGCAACAGGAAGATTGGCTGGAGGAAGGGAGCTCTGGTGTAAGTGAAGGTGGGTTGAGTAGTTATGGTAGGATTGGAGGGAGAGTGTGGAGTAAGTGGCGAAGGGAGGGGGTGGGGGATGTATGAAGTGTTAAGATCGGAGGGGGGGAGGAGGAAGCTGATCGAGGCTTGACAGAGAAGCCCAGTGAAGGAGAAATTAGATGGAAGCCCATCGAAGACCTCCGGAAGCTCCGTAGGTTTAACAGAGGGGATGGTAGTATGGATGAAAGTCCCCTTGGGGCTAATGGATATGGTAGTGATTGCGAGGGTGAGGGGTGGATTAATGGGCAAGTAGGTGGGATGTTAGTAGAGGGTAAATGCTTGAAGGGAACGATGGAGGGAGGCGAATGGGGGATTCCGCACGGGCAGGAAAGACAGCTTAACCAACACGCCCTAATGGGATCAGGTGCAGAAAGGGGGCCCCGGGAAGTAGGAGGGCATCCCCGCATGAAAGATGAGAGCGATGGAAGGGTGGAGGGGCGGAGCAGCCAGGACGGTGGTATAGAGAGAGGTGATCCGCCAGATACGAAGATAGGAGAAAGGGGGGGAAAGAATGACTGCGGCTGGATTAGACCCTGTAAAAATGATGAGGTTGAGAGAAAGGGTGTGGAAGATGAAGTGGAGGGGAGATGTAAGAAGGAACCCCGGCCAGCTCGTGATAGAGATACTCAAGATCCGTGTAATGACAAACGGGAAAAGAAGGTAAAAGGGTTACGTGCGGGTAAAACAAGTATACTCACAGCGCAGGAGCGCACGTACCGGGGCCCGATCACGCGGTCCCGTAGCCGGATGCAGACATTTGGAAGCAGCATATAAACCCTCCCTAAAAACCACCTTGTCAACCCTGATGATGTCGGGAGAGCCCGACGAAAGCTTGGTTGCCTTTATTTTTAAACAGTGTTTTAATTGCTTTTAAACTTTTAACTGCTTTTAAACATTTTAAACTTCTCTTGGTGAGCGTGATTATTTTGGTACAACATATATATATATATATATAATATATATGTTTTTCAAAATTTGGATTGCTAACAAAGAATTAAGGGAGTACTGGGATAGCTATTTCTAACCTTATTTGGTTTCATCAGCCAGACATACCCTTCTGAGATTCGAACCTGGGCTGTCTGCATGTTAAGCAGAGATGTTAGCCACTAGGCCACAGGCTCTTTCTCGCTTTGTTAGCTATAAGAGACAGGGGAAGAGGATGAATGCTTTTGTTTGAACACCCTGTCGGCCCAAATATGGGAAAGAGAAATCTTTTGCCTGTATCAGCTCAATCTAGAGCCATCCACAGGCAGCAGTCGCTTAACTGCGACATCATATGTGTTTTTCAAAATTTGGATTGCTAACAAAGAATTAAGGGAGTACTGGGATAGCTATTTCTA